ATTTATGATTAGCTATGTTATTAATATTTAAACTGAAGTTATTAATCACTAAGTTGACGTTCTTAATATAAGAAGTGTACTTCTTGCTACGTAATTAAGCAAATACCTATTTTTTATATTAATAACTTTACTTTCGTTATTAACAACTTTTCAGCTTAGATTTTAACAACTAAGCTTTTGAGGGTCAGGATCATAATTTTAGAAAATAATTATGTTAGACGGGCCTTAAGCACTTAAAAATATTTACTTCATTTAGCGGTATTTATTTATTACTGCTCTCTTGAAGTTCGGGTGATCGTCATTCAAGGGGGTGGCGGCTGGCAGGTTCCTTCCATACCTTTTTTGAATGAATCTTTTATCCATAGAAGGACAAAAAAGGAAAGGAAAGAAGGTAAAAGGATGTACGTAAAAATGATGATGAAAAACGTGCACAAGTTTAAATTGTAAGTATTCGGCTAACAGGGACCAAATCTTTGATAGACAAAAACAAAGACCAAGAAGAAGAAGAAGAAGCGTGCATTATAGCTAATTTTCTTAAAAAATAAATAAATATATATATATATATATATACTTAACTTTTAAAATCGAAGACTACAATGAGTGTGACTTAGTACTTTAATACATGTATCCATAATTATTTGAGACTCAAACAATTAAGCTACTCATTGTTTATTATAAGAATCAAAGAAATAAAAAAGAATAACAATAGAGCAAGTGTCATACTTCTTCCATCTCAAATTATAAAATATTTTTAGATAAAAATTACATATATTAATAAAACTCATCAAATATATTTTACAACTCTATTTTATTCAAAATAAAATATAAATTTTTAAAAATACCTTTCATTTAATATTCTCTTCGATAGGGTAATTTTAAAAAAAATTCTCCATCCCAAAATATAAGATACTTTGGGTAGATTAATGTTCCATTAAATGTACTAATTTTAATATTACCCTTTCTCTCTTTATAATTAATTTTTGTCCTTTCTCTTTTAATTATATTAAATGATGGGTATTTTTAAAAATTTATATTTTTATTTTGTAAAAATAAAGTTATTAAACGTATTTAATGAGATTTATTGATATATAAAATTTTATCTAAAAGTGTCTTACAATTTAAAATGAAAAAAGTATTTTATTTATGAAAAATATTGAAAAAAGAGAGCATAGTAAAAAAGATAATATTAAAAAAATATTAATAATAAAATTTTATTTATATCAAAATATTTTATATTTTAATACAGTAAATATTTTTAAAAATATTTTATAATTTAAAAAAGAGATAATATAATCAAAGCAATAACATAATAGAAGCTTTGAATTCAAGCAGCAAATGAAATGAATCCGTCACAACAAGACAAAAAGTAGCGCAAGTTATTACTGTTAAGTGGTGGCATTTTAGGTGAAAAGCCTAGGGATGGGACTACACGTACTTGGGCATTGCTCATGCGACAAGTGCACTTAAGATTTTTTTTTTTTTTTAACTAGGCCTTACCAAATAAATTTTTTTTTAAATTGGTAGGTTGGTGAGAGAGAAAATTCTCTTATCAAGAAACGACATAGTTTTTGCTCAATTGTTAAAACTGAAATAATGGCTCTTAAGACTGGGTTGGAAGTTGTCAAGCAACTTAGTCTGCATAAGATTAATCTTTACTTTGATTCCATTAATGATATGATTAATGCTATGAATTTTTTGAGAACAGATTGTGTCACCAATCATCCTCCATGGGTGGAAATTCCTGAAATACGAGAGGCTATTTATGGTAATGGGGAGGTGCAAATTCACTATATACCAACAGGAACAATATGGGATGCACTAATTTTCTAAAAAAAAGTCAAGAAGGACTACTAGTTTAGAGGTTATATTGATACTTATAGTTCCTCTAGGATGTTTGAGATAATATTTAGAAGATAAGTAACATGCAAGTTATTGTGTTTCTTATTCTCTTTTATTGGTTTTTAGGCTAGTTTCTACTTGTTAGTTTCTCAAGCTCTTGATTGGCTTTGTAATCCAAAACAAAAAAAAAAAAAAAAAAACAAAAGAAAGAAATAATATACTCCTTCCCCCGTGATATTTAAGGGAAATTTTTTAAAAATTGTACTTAATCCAAAATATTAAATAAATGTTATAATTTTTTTCAACTACAAACTTACTTTATTTTTCATTTCTTTTTTTAAAAATAATCTCTTAAAATTTCAATTGTCATCATTATTGAAATATCTATATAGGGCATTTAATTGAAAAGACGTTTATAATTTTTTTAAAAATTAATGTTTCAAAAATAATTATCAATATTTTATATTATATTATTATATATCAGAGAGAATATATGGAACCACCATCGTAATCATAACGTGTGGCGAATTAGAATTCTCGCAAGATAATAAGTTCTCATCATAAGATTAGGACTGAAGCTAAAGTATGAAATGGACGAGTATGCACGCATTGAATGTCGCTCTCTTAGAATGCCAAAATAAATGTCGCTCTCTTAGAATGCCAATATATATATATATATATATCTATCATATCTGTTAGGGTTAAAAACGTGGAATATAAATTAACTTGAGGTTTGGGGCTACAAGTTGTGTTAATTAAAACTGATCACATAATTGCATTGGAATTTGGTCTATGATATGGATATGAAACTTTCCAAATTTATAGATTGATATGCTGCAATTTTAATGTGATAAGGAGACAGAGTGACATTGCAGTCTACGAATTTGTATATCAGTGCTAAAAAATCATAGTAAAATATAAATATTTCTATATATTTTAATTAACTTATATTATTTTAATTATGACAAATCAGATATTAATTTTATCCCTAATCATTAAGGGAAAATGACAATTGCAGATCCCATAGATACATTAATGATATAATTTCAAACCTTGAATTATTAAAATCCTATTAAGGGACTATAGTCCTTGCTTACAATTAAAAATACATTTGAATTTATAAAATTGCCCTTATAAGAAAATGCAAAAAATAGCTTATCAAACATTGAGTTAAGTTCTGAAATTTTGAAAAGTCGCTTTGGGATTATTTGGAGAGTTAGTTGTGAATATACGACAATCAATTGTGCTAATCACTTATAAATTCTTGTATTTATTAATATATAAACAAACCACTTGAAAAATTAAAAATGCAATTTGTGATTCCTAGAAAAGTAAGTTGAGAATTTTTTTAGAGTCAATTGTAAATTCTAAAAACAGCATTTGTATTTTTGGTCAGTCAGTACATATACTTGCTTGTGGAATCTTAAAAACCCACTTGGGATTCCATGGAGATTTGGTTATGAATATGCGACAGTTAGTTTTGAATCTCAAATCAACAATTCGTGAATTGTTGTTAAACCCATTTGAGAAATTAAAGAAAATAACTTGTGATTCCTGGGAAAGAAAGTTGAGAATTGGAAAAATGGCATTCAAGGTCGACCTTTGAAGAATGTTATTTGCAGACGATGACCAATAACAAGTTACAATTAAAAAAAATTCATGTTTTCATTTTAACAATTAACAATCAGTCTATCTATGAATAATATTCTTCAAAGGTCCTTGAATGTGATTTTTCCATCATATGAAAAAATTAATAGTTAAGACAGACTAAAGTTTTTAATAATGAATGTGAAGTTGTTAATATAAAAAGCATAAGTATTATTGCATGATTAAACTAAATTTATAATTAGCTATGTTTATTAATACCTAAACTGAAGTTGTTAATAACTAAGTTGAAGTTGTTAATATAAAAATTGTACTTTTGCATAATTAAACAAGTAACTACGTTTTTTTTTTATATTAGCAACTTTATTACCAACTTTTTAGTTCAGGTTTTAGTGACTAAAGTCCTATTTGATAATTGAAAATGACTAGAATAAAATGGAATTTAAGAAAATCAAAACAAAATGAAGAAAATCACATTTTCCTATCACGGTAAACATATGTTATAAATATGATAATTATCACACCCTCTAAAAATATAATGAATTAAGATTTTTAACATTATGAACTAAATTACTCATCATATTTATGAATGTTGTCACATGTCCCTTTTGATAATTTTATTTTTATATTTCATTCTATTCATTTCTAATAACTAAACAGAACCTTAGCTTTTTATTATTTTATTGAGAGTCAAAATCATAATCTCAACGAAAAAAAATTATGTTAGATAAGTATTAAGGACTTCAAAATAATTACTCCATTTTGCCATGCTCATTTATTATTTAATTTGCATAACAGTAGAGCAAGTGTCACTCTCACTCTATCTCAATTATAAGATACTTTTAAATAAAATCATGCATACTAACAAAATTTATTAAATACACTTTATAACTTTATCTTTTAAAAATAAAAATATAAATTTTTTAAAAATACTCATCCTTTAATATTTTATTTATAAAAGAATATTGGAGAGAGAAAATATAATAAAAAATTAATATTAAAAATAAATATAATTAATAAAATTTTTATTCTTATTAAAACATTTTATATTTTATAATATTAAATCTTTTTAAAAAAGGGTCCTTTAATTTAGGAAGGATGTCGTATAACCAAAGCAATAACATAACAAAGACGTGAATTAGCAATAAATGAAATGCATTTGTCCTCTCAAGACAAAAAGAGCCCTCCTTATTATCGTCAAGTGGTAGCTTTTCATGTGAAAGGCCGACGGCCAGGCAAGAGAGAACACGTGGGCATTGTCCATGTGACAAGTACTTCTAGATTGCAAAAAGCAAAATCTATCATATCTGTTAGGGTACAAAAACGTGGAATAAAAACTTGAATAAAGGAATCCAATAAGCACAAAAGATTGTTGTTTACGATTGATCACACTGCACTGTGCATTCAAGTAATGATTATTTGATTGAATTCGGTGAATCACTTATGATTTGTTTGCACATGTCAGGGCACCAGCCACAGACAAATCGGAGGTATCTACGGTTTTGCCATCCGCATCTATATAAATAGACACACGCACGCTCACCTATGCCATCACAGATATCAACACACAACATATTAATTCCTTCCATAAGCAAAATAGCAGCTTTTCCGTCGTTGTGATTTTTGCAGAATAGGTCAATTATGTCTCTCTTTCTCATGTTCTTTGCTTTTCACTATTTCTTCTCTTTTAACAACTTACTCTGATGAGGACTATCACTGACGTGTCTTTTCTTGTATCTGCTTGCCGTGAGTTATATTGCAGTGAAAGCTCATCTTCCATATCATCACACGTACGATGGGTGTGGAGTTCACAGTGGAGATCAACATTGAGACTAGCACCAGAGGAGGCTATCGTAATTTCATTCAGAACCTGCGCACACAACTTGGGGTGAGATCTTCTCACAATCGTCCAGCTCTTGCTGTTCAGCAGAACCCACCCAATCGATTCTTCGATTTGGTTTTACGAACCAATGATCATTCTGTGAGGTTCAGGCTTCGAATGGACAACCTCTACTTGCTTGGCTACCAGATGGAAAGCGGACAGTGGTTAGAGCTCGACAACCACGACGAAAATCAGCAACTCGTGCATCTAATTACAGAATCTGGGACCCAGTTCCTAGGTTTCGATGGTAGTTACGAAGGTTTGGAAAGAGTTGCTCATCAAAGCTTGTTAAATACCAGAGTTGGCTTCCACAACCTTGTCTATGCTATTAATCAACTTGCTGGAACCACGAATTGGGAGGCGAGGGCACGCAGCTTGATCGTTGTGATTATGATGTTTTGTGAAGCAACCAGACTCATTCCAGTATTTGACTACATGGCCGAAAATTTTCACAACTCGTCTGACACTAATCGTAACACGGAAGGCACAATCCAGCCTTGGATTATTGACCTGGTTCGCAGTTGGTATCGTTTGTCTGCAGCATTGTTGCGTGCTGATGCTTACCCACAGGAAAGGTTTCATCTCCTGCCAAACAACATAAGAATTCCACCAAATAACAGGCAGATAAGAACTCTTGCCGAGGCTTTGGAAATACTTGGCATCTTGTTGGGTCTTTGCTTCATTGGCAGTGGACCAAAAAGGCTCCCACGTATGGCCTCTGATGAAGAACAATGCTTTTTAGGGATACCGCTTTTGCAGGTCTTCTCCGTGCGCATGAACAACATAGATAGTGAGGATCCTGGGCAACTCTATGGCACAATTACAGTCGACGATGGATTATATACACAGTTCATCTACAACCGTACAAGGGGCAACTATGAATCCATTAGTCCTGGCCAAAATGTTACCCTAATTGGACCACCTGAATCTGTCTCTGCCTTCGGGAATGTTAACATCAAGTTGCTTCTCACTGATAAGGACATCGTATCTTCTGACGATGCAATCATGAATGAAGATATTTCGTGGGATGCTGCTAACATTGGCAATGTGTATGACAAACTCATAGCTAAGAAACTAGACAGTAGTCGAGGTTCGGTGACTGTCAATTATGCGGTGCTGCGAAATGCTGTGGCTGCCAGGGTGACCATTTCAGTTGAAGAAGGAGGGGAAAATGAAGTTGAGGTTTATGGGCAGGCTTCTGCTTACTACAACAATTGGGACCAGGGCTCTGGTGATGCGACTTGTTTGTTGTTCAAAAGATCATCAAATGACTATGTTGAAGTAAGGCGTTGGCAAACTATTCCATTGTTGAGATCTGTGATTGCAGTGCCATTGAGTAGCTCTCTTAAAGTTTCTGCGCATTTGTATGATCATGACCCAATCTCTGCTGATGATGAGATTGCAAATGGAACAGCAGAGTTCCCAGTCCCAGACAAAATACCAGATACAACCTTCAAGCGTGTCGATGGAAAAGATGGAAACTATGTGACCGTCACTGTCTATTGGACTTCTGGTTTCTAAGCCGCTTTCCATGACATCCAAGTTATCTTTAATTTACATATTGGCTTTTGTTTTGGCGAGTTAATGTCTTGTTTTTGTGTCTTAAGTTGATGTGATGTGTCAATTGTGAGCCTATATATCTCGCTCCTGCAATAATGTCCTGCAATAATGTCATGTTTGTTTTGCTTCATTATATTACTCTTGTTATACGTCTGGTAATGGAAACTCTTAATGTCATATATTTGTTTATTTTTGCTTTACCTTATTAGTCTGGATGGTGTGGTATATATCATGCCAAATATATGGTGAGACAAGCAAGGTTCATTAAAAACTGAATAAAACTAGTTGGTCGACTAGAAAAAGAAAAAAATGGATGAAATGGCGATTTTGGTATGATATGGATAATGCTTTGGGTTTGGGTTATTGTTAGTTTTGTCACTCTTGAAAGGGAGAGGAAGAAACAGCTTAGGTTTATGGATAATAGGCATAGGTATATATATGATAAATAAATGTGTATTATATTTATAAATTATAAAATAAGTACCCACACACACATGATAATTGATGAGCATCTTATATTTCATAAATATTTTTTAAAAATATAAAATTTTTATTAACCTTCTAAAATGAGATTTTAAAGCTAAAGCTACATATAAAGAGTGTCAAGCGAAACTTCTTTTGTCCTAGGAAGCTTTGCTTCGTAATTGAGCTTGGCAATGCCTCTAGCTCATTTCAAAACTTGCAAGGACTCGGATTTAATTTGAAGATACTTTTCAAAAGAGAAGGTCGTAGTTTGCCATATTCAAAATGTTCATCATCATGAATGAAAATGAAAGGAATAATTAATATAACTTCCTATATTATTTCATTTATTGTTTCAAGAGTTACAAAATCATAATGCTTAAATAATAATAATAATAATAATAGTCATGCATCTGCTTTACCAAGAGCGTCTTAACTCTATAGGGGTGTGTGGATGTTTGTATTTGATTCATGTCAACAACAACAACAGTCCTATAAGGAGATTGTAACTCTCATATAATAGCCCTAATAAAGCAGCTTAGCTTGTGACACGTGTACAAACCCCACTCTCGTGTTTAATGTCTTGTTTAAAATTTTAAACAAAAGTACGCTTGTATGCCTTGTATGGGTAATATAGTGTAAATATTCTTCCTATATATTGTTGACTTTATCAATATAATTAAGAATTAATATATTTTTTTAATCAAAGCCACAGTAGTGTTCTCTCTTTTCTTGGCTTGATCATAATTAAGCCAGATGAATTTTTAAGAAACGTCTCACCTGTATTTTCAATGTGTGATCATGCATATTTACAGATTGAAATTCAAAAATAATTTTGGGTTATCAATATTGAACTCTAATGATCTAAACTCGTGTGGATAGTCGGGTAAATTTTGTTATATCTAAATTTGATAAAAACTCTGATTCGACTCTGTTATTTAGTATATTATTTTTGTTTAATATTTCTTCACTTTGCTCTCAAGCTTGCAATTTGGGAAGAGAAGTAGCATGGGTTTCGAGAAATTTGAAAAGTGACTAAATTGTAAGATTTGCTTCAACTTTGATGTGCTACCGAAACACTTCCAAAGAAATGAAAGGATTCTCATGCCTGTATTATATATCATAGAAACATGTGGCATTTCAGATTTACATAGGCATTTAATTTTTACCGTGTTGTTTCCAGCTTTTATGTTTCTCATGATATTTTAGTTAGGCTTCTTTTGGGAAGGATTCTTCCTTGCTCCCTTCCTCCTGGTTTTTATCCTGCCCTCGCAAGGGTAGAATTTTTTTTTCTTTTATTACTCACATGTCCATGTGAGGGCAAAAGAGAACCTGCTCCCAGCTTCCTTTGTTTGTTTCATCAAAATATGATCTATTTATTATTTGAAATCATGGTAACTATAAAGAATAAACTTGACTCTAACGGCATTTGGAATCTTGGCTTCAAACAGAAACACAAAACAATATTAGAATATGAGTGTAACTGTGTCTCATCTTTGACTTCACGTTTAAAATTTTTAACTAGAATCACAAAACAATAAAAAATTAAGGGAAAAAATATTTAGCAAATACTTGCAACCTCATTTGGAACTTCCATCAATACTTCTGCTGTTCTTCAAGAATCTTCTATAAGAAAAAACAACATATATTATTGGCAAGAAGGCAGCAGGCTACTTCAACCCGCACCACATGACCCGTGGTTGTGGCAGGCCAGCGTGTAAAATGTGATTTGAAGGGCAGGGGAGCGGAAGAAATTATTAATTATCAAGCATGCCCTTACTCATATATTTACTATTTAAATAACTTTCTAGCTTGTTTAGCTTTCATAAATTTAAATAACTTTCTACTTTTGTTAGCTTTTATAAATTAGAATAAAATATATTTATATTAGATTTATTATATTTTTAAAATGTGTTTTTTTAAAGATCATTTGATTTACGTTAATTTATCATTTCATTAATTTAGATATGCATTTTATTAGAGGAATAGACACATTATTTTTTTTTTAAATCCCTTGAGCGATGGTTAAAAACTATAATACTGGAAGAGGAAAAGAAAAAGAAATAATATGGATATATATTTCCTTATAAATTGAAGTATGACATCCGTGGATTGAAGAAATCATATGGATATATATATATATATATATATATATTACATGTGTGGTGATCACTGGATGAAAAAAAAAACATGATGATGATACACCTAATGAAGATTAATTGTGCGGGGACCGCAATAGACTAATCAAGAAAATATTGGTATATTTTAGTTTTAGGTAGTGATTTCTTGTGCTTTTCATTTTATTCATCCTAACACTTATGTTTATTCTCACATAATTTCACCTCCTCATATAGGATGATTATGTACATAACTATCCTATACGAAGCATCTTATATTAACAGTTATGTAGTAGTGTAATTCTATTAATGTAGTATGGAAACTCGTTGTAATGGCAAGTGAGAAGAGCTTTGAATTTATTAGCAATGAGCAACAACAGCAATTGGGACATGTTTTTGAAAAAGTAACATATGTGCTGATTGGCTTGCCAATCATGATATTCGGCAAGATTATAGATGCATTTTTTGTTTGCAATTTCCTCATGAGCTTCAAAATTAATTGGTTGTACTGGGATAGTTTGGGGGTCTTTGGCCCTCGTTTTTCTTCTAGTGGAAAAATAGTTTCCATTAAGATATATATATATATATATATAGAGAGAGAGAGAGAGAGAAGCAGTATTATGCCCTTGTGTTTTCATCCCTACAATGCTCGCTCTATCCTCGCGCAAACTTATGTTGACTCGTGAAATACGCAACAATCGCTCCCACTCCTGCCGTCGATGAACAAACCACGAGCAGGACCATACTATTAAACTTTAAAAATCGGATAATATTCCATTTTGTATCATTGCTTGGATACTAACCCATGCATTAAACTTTAATATCATAAAAATTTGATAATTTGGTCAAGGAAAATGTTCACACTATAGATTTATGGTTGAAAAGGAGATTTGTTAAGCAGTGGGTAGGTAACCCAAAAAGGGAAGCCGGTGCGACAAGACTTGGTTAAACGATTGCAAGATTGAAATTCAAAAATATAGTGTAAATCGAATCATCCTGCAATGCATATACCCCAAAAAAGGTTGAAATTCAAGTGAATGTGAATAGACCATCTTCAACAATTTCATTTAAAGATTGATGAAAAAATAATTTTAAGAATTCTTATGCATTCAAACATCTCTTTTCACAAATAGAGGTTAAATCTTAGATTTTATTAGATTTTTGTTAACTGTGTATTATTTTTAATTCGATCCTTGCCAATTAGTGATCTTATTTTAAGTAAATTTAACGAAAAATATATAGGTAAGTCCTTAAAGTATTTATTGATTTTAAATTAAGTTCCTGTAATTTATTTTATTTTAATTGATTTTTTATTATTAAATCATTTAAATTTTTTAACCCCTAAAGATTAAAATCTTTGCATTTTTTCTTTAAAAAGAAAAATAAAGAACTTTTATATATTTTTTAAATAATTATATAACTTTAGAATTAATTATTTAATTTTATTAACTCAATTTATATAATTAAGCTTTCTTTTAAATATTTTTTGTGCATATAAAATTTTTGTGCAAAATTAATAAAAATGTGATAGTGTATTAAGATTTTTCTCTTTCTTATTTTGGTTAAAAGTACTAAATTATTTTTTTTTATAAACACCAAAAGTATTTTTGCTTGAGAAAGAGAATGATAGAGAAGCATAAATGGGGCCAATTAATTTAAGTTCCAAGTACCAAACTTCGAAAACTAATAAGTTTGACTCTCAATTTTATAATTTTATTATAATGAGTTTGTAACTTATAATTTAAATTTTAATAAGGTAAGAAATTTATTTATTCTTTAACCATGTTAAAATTTAAAAAAAGAAGTTATAAATTCATCATAATGAAATTATAAAATTAAAAAACAAACTTACAAATTTTGAATTTTGACACTTGGGACTTAATTTAAATTAATTGGTCTTCTTAGAACCAATCTATTATCCTCCCATTTAATAATTCATTATTAATTTTAACCTTTAAGGATTAACATATTTAATACATCAAATTATAAGGGTGATGACTCTCTATATTTTTATATCTTTTTGAAGAGTTTTATTAATCTTTTAGAGAGTCATCTAATTATTTTTATTTATTTTTCTTGTGTTTAATGTTTATTTTGGTATTAGTTAGCTTTTTTTTTTTGTAAATATTGTGTTTTGATTTTGTTTTAGATTATTTTTTTTATTAATTTGAGTCATTTTTTATTTTGGAAACTAATCTACTAAAGCTTGAAAGAGGTGGAGAAATATAATGAATTTAATGAAGAAATTAAATTTTTATGATCATAGCAGGTTAATATTATAAGGCAAATCCTGAACCAGAAACAGAACCTGCTACAGCGGGCACTAAAGTGGATTTCACACCAAAAGCATAGTTTCAGTTTTTTGGTCTAACAAAAGAGGAAAACTAAGGTTTTTTAAAGGAGGCTTCATTTTTTACATTCTCTAAAAGTTCAAAGGTGATTTTGGAGTGCTTGAAGCAATTTTGGAGCTTAGGAGTAAAATAACTCATCAACATCCACGTTTTCATTGAGTTTTCCTTCACTTTTCTCCTTCTTTCTCCTATGTATATGATTTTGTCCCATTATTTTGCTATTTTGAAATTGTATTTAGTTATGTGTAGCTAAATTTTGATGCTCTAGAGTTCTATGAACTCATTTACTCCGATCATATCTTGATTTACTGATTGATTTATGATTAATAAATGTTTTATGTTTTAATTTCAATTTATATTTGTATTGTTTGATGATTGGCCACCATTAAATGATAATTTAGAGGAATAAAATGAACTTGGAAAAGGATTTTTTATTGAGACAATTGGAATTGAATGTTGAGGATTAACTATAGTCAATTTGCACCTAAGATAAAAATGTACCTAAAGGACATAAGTGATTGGAAGGAATTTAAACTTAATGTTTTTAATCTAAGTTTGAAAAGGAATTGTTAGGTTAGAATTAAAAAAGATTTTGGATAATCAGAAGATATTTAAGATTAATTTTAGTGTCCTAGCCCTTAAAACTGAACTTAAAATCAATTTAATAAGTGAAGTACAATGGAGCAAATAAGGGACTAAAACTCTAGAGTAATTTCCTAATCGTTTCTTGACTTTAGAATGCTTCAAAATCTTAATTGCCTACTTTACATTTTGTTTTATTTTTAATTTGAATAATTCACCATTATAAGTTGCTTGCTCACTTAACTTAAATGAAATTAAGAATTTAATACCTATTTATTAATTTACTTAATTTTTTATGAAATCGACCTTAATTTGTCATTAGTTACAATCACGACCTATATACATGCGGTGTCTTTTTAGTTTTTTTCTGTGCATCAAAGGGTTTGATTAAAATAAAATAGACTACATAAACCTAATTTAAAATTGAGAAAAACTACAAAGGCATACAGATTAATTTTTCCTAAATTTAAATCACAAAGTTGATTCATTAAAAAATTATTAACATTTTATCAAATTCTTTAACTTGTTTTTTTTTTTACAAGCAAATCGTTGCTTTTTTAAGAAAATACTACGGTAAAAAGATGCCCCAAGGAATATAATGTCGCTCCACTAAGAAAAGTATAGAATTTGTTTAACTCTTTTTTTCCATTGTTTGAAAAACTGATATTTTATAAAACATGCTATCAGAATAAAATATGAAAAAGTTCTGCTTGAATAATTACTTTAAAAATTATCTGAAAACTTTAAAAATGTAAAAACTTATCCGGTAAATTGCTTTCAAAACATGCTTTGAGAAAAAAAGACAAAAAAGAAAAAACTTGTTTAATTAACCTGTTTTACACAAATAATATTATGATAATTTTTTTATAATTATCTATCATCATATTGTAACCATGAATGAATTTAATAATAAAATTTGAATAAAACCACCAACAAATAACAAAAATAACATTGATTTAAAAAAGTCTCAAGAATATAGTTAAAACTCAACCTAACACATTGTTCTAAACAAAATATCCAGAACATCGTTTTAAGTGGTATAACTATGCAAAGTATGGTCATCATGTTTTTAAAGAATTAAAAACTAAATTTGCCCTCATAAAATTAAATCAACATGCAATATACACCTTTGTAAACCATGCATAGAACAACTCAATTCTATTCTATGAAAACATGCCCAACTATTATATCATAATTTCACATGAATTATGCTATTCAACCACATCATATTACATTTACAAGAAGTTGATACTTGATAGAAAGATTCAGTAGCATGGTCGGGCAAAATTTACATCTTCTGTAAGCAATACACACGTCACATCCATTATGTGCTGCGAGTACACATGTTCAAACAATTTTGGTAATATTTACAATATCAAAAATGTAGAAATACATAAAATTGCTAACTTCTGATCAAATTAAATTGTGATATGGGAGCAGAACTTCTCAAGCAACCTCTACCACATTCTTCATTATCTCGTACTGGTATACAACCTCCCTCAGAATAAGGCTAGATCCTCCGAGTTTCATAGGAAATCAAGTGTCAGACGCAAGCGATGAACTGCGCAGTGTAAATGGATCCCATGCGGAAAATATCTCTCTCTCTAAAATTTACATGGCAAGAATCCAACTCCTCACATCTGCACAGCAGCAAGCGAGTAGTTCAATTCGATGGTGAATGTCACCTCACTGCTCAAGACTCTGGATGCCTTTAAAGGTATATACAGGCACTGTAATAGCCTCTAGCATGAATACTTCTAAAAGATCTGCCATCTTGCCATGTTCAGAGATCAGATGCTATAGTTAGAATCACCAAGCCAAATGAAGGATGATGATCTTGCTTAGTTAAAGAAGTATGGTGATTCTAAAACATCCCTTAAGTCAAAATCTCCCCGTTCAGGCAAGGGCGGAAATGATAATGATGGAAAAGACCTCTGGAAGCTCTCCAGTAACTGTTCAAATAGTCAATAGGTTAGAGAGAGAGAGAAGGAGATAAATAAGGGATAATATAACTTCCAGTCCCTAAACTACAGAAATAACTCCGTCCTTATAGTGTTCCAAGTCAAGAAACTATAAAGATTGAAGTGTTCCAAGTCAAAGTTCAGGGAATAAATTGATAATTGAGAAATAAGTTTTGGAACTAAAAGTTGTATTTTTCCTAAAAATAATTTTGAAACACCAAAACAGTGACACAAGTTTGAAAGTCGATGACAAATGAAACAACAAAGACCTCCTGTGTTGGGCCAATTTAACTTACGTAACCATCATTTACATCATGCAAATTTGTACCTTTTTCTTCCCTAGTTCTAGGAACGAGGAAGGAAGAAAAGTGTTTTTTCCTATGCCATTAAGGTTGACTGGTTCTTCTATTAATAATATAAACAACCACTTAGCTGAAAATAGAATTCAAACGCCAGCAAACAGAGCACAGTTCAATAATAAATATGCACTATTCTCTCACGCTGAAGAATTCTATAATCTCATATCAGGCTATAGCTATTTCTTCAAGTAAAATGAAAACTCTAGTAAATCTGATATGGGAAATCTTAATGAGATCAATACATATAAACAATAGTTGGGTAAATAATGTGCAGCTACAAACGTACATTTTCAAGAATTGGAGTCTCGTAGAGTTCCACAAACTTGTGTCTGAGTAGTCTGTTCATTTCATCCACATCACATGCATGGGTCCAGTATGAATCATGAACCCCTACAGATGTAACAGTAAAGATCCTCAAAAATATTGCACACTAATATCGATCAAATCAAATGGAAGGAAATGAACTAGGTCGAACCTGCAAAATTCAAGCCTGCGCTCTTGCAGGCAACTGCCGTCATCATCATATGAGAACCATCGAGTGAGTGAACAAAATTCGGGGGGAATGCTGTCCTCTGCCGCTTGACCATGACCTACAATAGTTTTAATTTATAAAGGAATGATATCAGAACAGCATCAATATTTGCAATCCCGAAACAAATTTATTATGAAGATGCAAGGTTATGATGCCATTTTTTAACAAGGAATTCCAAAGGGTACCCCTTGTTTAACCCACCTTATCAGTTTCGTCTTGCATTGTCAAAATCTGAAGTGAAGTTTTGACCTGTAACCAATACAATAGATTATAAACGTGTTAAAACTCTTGTTCTGAAAACTGAACAGAAGCATTAATGAGATTTATAATTCTAGGAAAATTATGTAAGACTCACCATATGCCTCCCTAACTTACGGTAAGGTTGCACTACAGGAAGTCCAAGAGGGGTGGTCCAGCGCACGGGTTGATTTTCAGCTGCAATTATCTGTTTCAATTGTCTTGGTCATAACATAACACAACCCCATAATAACAAGTAAAGAGCATAAAATTTTATCCTCCAAAACATACTTTTGCACAGTCACCTAGCCAGCTCATGATACTTCGTGCGGCTTGAAACATTTCCTCCAAAGCAGTTAAGGTTACCTGATAGAAAAGATGTAAGACACAATAACGTCTCTTTGTTGCAAAGATGAGATATTTTCAATGGTCAACTTCAAATTGGCCACATTAGTCCATATACCTGGAACTGGGTGGGAAAAGCTACAGAACAGATGCCAGGTATCATAAGCCAATTGTGTATTGATTAAGTACAAATTGCAGCTATAATCCTCTATTTACTGGATTTTTTTTGTGCTTTTTAGAAAATTTTAAAAAACAATACAACTAAATACAAGAAACACAGGCCATGCTATCTATATAAAAATTAAAAAATAATTAAAATTCATATCTCTTTTTGTGTTTTCAATTACGCCAGTTAAAAAAAAAAAAAGCTTTTAAACATAATTTTCATTACAATTATAATACATCAGTAGGATCATAATAGAGTTTAGATATGGTGGTTAAATAGTAATAGGATGCACATCCAAAAGTTACTATCACAAGCTATGTTTGAAATGCAAGCAATGACAGATGGAGAGGAGGGCAAGGAGGGGTTAACCACCCCCCCTCCCAAAAAAAAAAAAAAAAAAAAACAAAGCAAAAAACACACACAAAACATAAACAATATGTCAGCTAGTTCTTAAAAAATTATGGTTTTTGCTTGTTCAGCCTCTACGCCCCCCTCCCCTTCCCAAAACAAAAAACAAGACAAGACAAGAAAGAAGGGGGGGGCTCCATATTTTGCCTGAAATTCTCCCATCCCCACAAATCATCAAGTCCTGGATACGTCCCTAAATGCAAGCTTAGGTTTTTATGATTTATTATTTTTATTTATCAATGCATTCCTTTCCGGCTGAACTAAATTTGATACATTTACTATTATGTGAGCTACATTTTAACGTAGCTTACACAAAGCTTTGTGCTTTGTTGTTTTGCACTTAAGAGCCTTTGTCTTGTACAAGTGCACTACACATAAATAATAACTCCAAATTTATGACTGCAAACACAAACAGTTCCTTCCCTCTAACCTTTGCAGCATAACAAGCAGCAAGAAAAAGCTGGTTATTATCTGAAATGGCACCTCGATCTTTCAACCTCCTCATTATCTGATCCCGAGCACCTACGTAAGTGACACCATACACTGATGTCATCACCGTTTGCTTGACCAATTTTCTATCCACCTGGATGATGTTCCAGATTAACTTAGAATCTGCTTTCAAGAGAGGAATTCTCAAGAATAACCATAATGTCATTAAAGAACAGCAATGCAAAAAAGGGAGGAAAAAGAAATCAATGAAAATTCACACAACTATAAGCAATCCAACTCCTTGAGCAAAAACACAACATATCGGATGTACACCAAAAGGTAAGAAGGAAACCTGATTAATCAAGGTCTTTGCATGAGAAGCATCAGGAAAAACTGCAGGATCTTTCTGAGCATCCCTTCGTATGATGTCTAAAACTCTGCACAATATTTTCAAACATCATGAAAACTATAAATGCAATACAATAACAAGCACAGAGAAACTTTGATTTAGCATGGAACTAGAACTAGAATTTACCCCATGTGTTGTACATGGGCCATGATTATTAATGAAAAAATAGATGATGATTTTTCTATAATTATCATCTCCCTCTGGCCATGCTTACATCAAAGGATCCATTTTGCCTACAAAGGTTCATGAAAAATGACGGTGTCATGGGGAAGGTTTCAGATTTAGAATGAGGGGATCTTTTTCATTCCCACTTTTTATTTAGATTTTGAGTCAATGAAAGAGTAAGTATTTAGTAAGTAGAATGAAAATGAAAAAATAAATGTAAATGTTGATCATATTTGATGTGTGTATTATGAGTAACACTAAAAAACGTCAACAAGTAGTAGCATTAAAGATTAGGTGGTGGCAATTAAAAGGTGAGAAGCAAAATATTTTCAAGCGGAATCTTTTGGACAAAAGAATTTGGGAATCTTAAGGAAGTGCTAACATCTTGTGGGAGGATATGGCTAAAAAGATAAGAGAGGCTGCAAAAGTAGTTTTGAGAATATCAAAAGGTTTTGGTCCAAGAGATAAGGAGTCTTGATGGTGGAATAATAGTGTATAGGACAAAATCAAACATAAAAAGAACTGTTTTAAAGCCATATATTTGTGTAACAATGAGGAAAAGTGGGAGAGGTACCATGTGGCTAAGAAGGAAACTAAGAGAGCTGTGTATGAAGTTCGTTCTAAAACTTTTGAAGAATTTTATAAAAGCCTTGAGACAAAGGAAGGAGAATGATACAGTTATAAGATTGCTAAGAGTAGGGAAAGAAAATCAAGAGATCTAGAATAGGTAAGGTGTATAAAAGATGAAGCAGGAAGAATTTTAGTTACAAATTATGAAATTAAAAATAAATGGGAGACTTATTTTTCCAAACTTTTCAATGATGGAAAGGGTTCGTCTAGTAACTTGGTGGATTTAGTAACTCGTGAAGGAGAATAAAATTTGCCATTCTATCGAATAATACGTGATAAGAAGGTAAAGGAAGCTTTTAAAAAAATGACAAATAATAGAGCCAACAGACCTGTTTATATATTTATTGAAGTGTAGAAATGTTTAGGTGAAGAAGGGGTGAGATGGTTGACTAAGTTATTTAATGTGATTTTACGGTCCTAGAAAATGCCTGACAAGTGGAGAAGAAGTACATTAATTTCTATTTATAAAAATAAAGGGGATATTCAGAATTGTACTAACTATAGAAGGATTAAACTCATAAACCACACAATGAAATTGTGGGAAAAAGTAATTGAGCATGGGTTGAGATTGGAGACAAATATTTTTGAGAATCACTTTGATTTTATACTAGGTAGATTGATTATAAAGGCAATTTGTCTGCTAAGGGGATTAATGAAAAAGTATCGTTGTAAAGATAAAGATTTACACATGGTTTTTATTGATTTGGAAAAAGCTTACAACTATATACCAAGAGAAGTGCTTTGGAAAGCCTTGAAAAAGAAAGGAGTACAGATTGCTTATATTAAAGTCATACAAGGTATGTATGAGGGGATAAAAACTAGTATAAGAACGTCTAGTGGTCAAACAAAGGACTTTTCTATAAAGACTGGACTACATCAGGGCTCATCTTTGAGTCTTTATCTGTTTAACTTGATCCTAAATATTTTGATGGAACATATTCAAGGAAAAATTCTCAAATATATGCTCTTCGCGGATGATATAGTTCTTATAGCAGAGATGAAAGAAGAGATTAATTGTAAACTTGAGTTATGGAGGAAGATATTAGAATCGAAAGGTTTTCGTCTAAGTAGGAATAAGACAAAATATTTATATTGTAAATTTAGGAAGAGACTAATCGACAGTAATTTTGAAGTGAAATTGGAGATCAAATTATACCTCAAGTAAAAGAGTTTAGATATTTGGAAGTCATTATTCAAAATGATGGCGAAATCAATGGGACTATTTCACATAAGATTCAAGTTGGGTAGTTTAATTGGAGAAAAGCTAAAGGAGTCATTTGCGACTGTAAGGTGCCTAATAAACTTAAAAGAAAGTTTTATTGTACTGCTATCAGACTGGCTATGTTATATAGTAGTGAATGTTAGGCTTTAACGGGACAATAAGAGCATAAAATTGGAGTAGCATAGATGAGAATATTACGATGGATGTGCGGACATACACATAAAGATAAAATTCAAAATGAGCACATACGCGAGAAAGTAAGGGTAGCACCTATTGAGAAAAAAATAATAGAAAATAGTTTGAGATGGTTTAGGTATATACAAAGAAAACCGTAGGAGGCACCAGTGAAAAGAGTGAAACATATAACTTTGAGCCTTGTTAAAAAGGGTAGACGAAGGCCTAAGAAAATACTCTTGAAAGTTGTTGAACGCGATCTCTTAATTAATAATATTCCTAAAAGCTTGATAAATGATAGAGCACAATAATGTCTTGCAATCCATGTAGCCAACCCCACCTAGTGGGATAAAGGCTTCTTGTTGTTGTTAATTATTTGATAAATTGAGATAAAAGAAAAAAATTGAGGAGAAGCTTCAACATTTATTTTAATTAAATAAAATTAATTTTTATTTAGAAAAAAGAAACAGAGATAGATCAAAGAAAATCACAATTCATTTTCTATGATTATGATTTCCCTCTGCCCAGGCTTACTTCATAGGATCTCATTTTTTACTACAAAGATTCCAGAAAGATAATAGTGTCATGAAGAAAGTTTTAGATTTAAAATGAGGGGATCTTTTTCATTTCAACTTTTTACTTTTAGATTTCTTAAAAAAAAATTAAACATAAAATGTTGATGTTGATGAGGTAAAAGAAGAAAAGGCTGAGAAGCTTATCGATTTATTTTAATAGAATAAAATTAATTTTTAATTAAAAAAGAAATAGAGATAGATAAAAACATAAAAATCAAAATTTTGAAAAAAGAAGTCCAGTGGAACCGCTGGAGGGCAAAAGTGGAATTTAAAGAGAAGATGGGATCCGCAAATATTAAATTTATTTAATAATCTTAACCACTTTTCAATATTGATAGGTGGCATCGAAATTTAACTCTTGATCTCCCATTGCCCTTCAAAACAAATAATGTGGTTGCAGTTCTCCAATTACCTTCTCTTCTGTTTCTTATCATTTCCTTTCTTATCAAATGATGCAGGTTTATATGTGATGCCTCTTGATCCTGATGTGGTTCCTAAAATGTTTGGGGAAGAAAGTAGGATAAATATAAGCATCTATCATTTACTACATCTCATTACTTTTAGCTAAAAGTTAGTTTTTCTTATTCATTGCCCGTACTACAAGCTGCACTAGCTTCAGCAATGTTAAAATTAGTAAACAAACCCAGTTGCAAGGACGCAGCTTTAGTTCTTGTCAACATTCTTCTCTATCTCTCCGAATTTTTCAGAAACCATGAGGGACGACACCACTTTTCAAAGCAAAATAGAAAATGAATACCATAAACAATTCAAGGCCTGATGTAATGAACAAGGTACCTTGCCGCAATTCCTGTGTAAACATCTGCGGGCTTCTCTCCCGCAACTAAATTGACAGCAACTGCCCCCAGCTGGGAAAAAAAATCAAATAAGTAACTACATATAGGAGCCTCAAATCAATGATACCTCAATGTCAGAAAATAGAAAATAGAGAGCATACTAAATACAAGGCAATAAAAAAATTAACAAAGATACTAAGGAAACATCAATGTAGACTTTTCACAGAACCTTTAATTTGGGTTCAAAAATTTTGTGACGTAAAAGATATACATACATTTCAACCCGTGCCACTTCTAACAATATATTGGCACAAAACTCAAATTCAAACAACCTGACATTGACATAGATCGAAAGACTTTTATAATGAAGCTACACAATCCAAATTTTTACCTTCATTAATCAACAAAATATTCAAGATTGAGTTTAACTTGATGTCTGATTTTAATTCTATAATGTTCAAATTCTAAATAATAACAAAGTTATATAGCTGGTTTTTCTTTTTCAATAGTCAGCAACTTTCTTTTTATGTTCCATTTAGAATTATTAGTGCTTATTTCACAGGAAAACTCTTATTTAGTAATCAAGTTTTTCTTCGGATGAATAAAAAATCAGAGCAATTAATTATCTTCATGTAACAAAATCTCGAATAATTGGAACTAAAGAACTTGGTAGCAATTCAAGTTAAAAGAGAGAGGGCCAAAATAAAAGTCAAAATGGCCATTACCTTGTCTCTTCCTAGGGCAGCATAATGTTGCAAGCCATTGCAAGAACCATCCTGAGACAGAAACCATAAAAGAACAAGGTGTATCTTGTCAAGCATACGTCAAATAAATAATATAACGATGATGATCACAATCAAAATACTAACAATGGTACAGCTAATTGGTTACTGACATTACAAACCCAAAAATCAAGAGAAAATGCCTAGCTTTTGACTGTTCTGTATGCCTACGCAAATGCAGGAACAAAATGACAGGGATTGTAGCAATTTTTAATTGAAATATTTGCGTCAGAAAAAAGATAAAAACATAATATAATAGCATGCGTTCTGATGAAGCAAACTCGTAACTTAAAAAGAGATGGTAAGGTAAAGCGCATTGTTAAGTAAAATGTAACTACAGAAAAAGTTTGATTTTCATGGTTCCACTGTTGTCATCATGCATTCCTGAAAAAAAAAAAAAAAAAAATCTTCCCAGTTTCTCCTGATTAATGATTATATCCCAGTGGCCAAAGAAATTGACCATATTTTTGTTGACCAATAAAGAAACTGACCATCTTCATGAAAATTACTCTACAGAATTTTGACATATGTTTTATCTTAACAGCATAACAGTCAAAAGAATGAAATTAAAAATTTATATATTGGGCAAATTTAGATAAGAGCTAATTATATCAATTGGAAATATAATCTAAAATTAATTTTCAGCTCATTGTACTCCCAAATATTGTCTAATGACTATATTGTTACCCTGGAGGCATAGACAGGAGTGTTTGAGCATACTCACCTGAAAATCAGAACATGTTTAAATTGGTTTGGTTTGGCTTTTGTGCACAAATAAGGTTAGCTTGGTTTTTTTTTTTTTTTTCAAGATAGATGCTTTCAGCTCTTAACAGTTTTGGCTTAGGGTTTCAACAATTCTTTATTATCACTTATAACCTCATCAACTGAAAACACACCCAATAAAGGCTTATTAATATGTGAGCGTGTGTAATGAATTATTAACACGATACACCTTTTACATTAGATATAAAAAGAGGCAAGCCACTAGTAATTATACATTACTGGATTTTTCTCTTCTTACTATTCTTATTTTTTCTCCTTTTCCTTTTAATGTAAAAAGTTTAACCATGCACAGTAACAGCTAAATCCCATCCAAGCTGAAAAACTCAGACTATATTTGGAAAATTGAGCTTATTTTATTTTCCAGACCCAAACCCCATTGACTTCGATCAAGTACCTGATGTACAGGAATATGTGAGATGAATGTCTCAGGTGAATGGCTTCTTAAAGCTTCAGTGAGGTCCATGCATACAGCCAAGCACTGGAATGGATCTTCTGCATTCAACCACCACCGCCTCCCTTCAAGTGGTTTGTCTGCAGAATCAAATATATCTTCCAGATGATTTTCCACAAATGCTATACGACCATCATGAGATAATTTATCAACACCACCAGCATATAGATTTGCCAAGTGTATCTTCAGCCAGTGTAAGCCAGATTTTCCAAGAGGGCGTCCCTCTGCAAATTCTAATATGCCCCGGCATACATCTGCACCAAGGTGATTCAAGTGTGGGTGCATTGGATATGCACGTCCTCGGAAATCAAGGTTGTGAGGGTAGAAGAAACCCTCTTCATCCTTCAATTTCCGTGCTACCTGAACACATAGGATTGCATGTGTTAGTAGACAAACATAATGGATTACTAATTGATTCACAAAAAGTTCACAAAAGCTTACCGAAAGTTTAAGTTCTATGTCACACCGTCTCGAGTGTCTCTCCCTGTTCTCTTTCTTCACAGATTTAGACTTCCATTTCCATTTCTTGATCAGGGCTTCATCATCAGTATCAGGCTTCCCAGGTAAAGGAACCTGCAAGTTTAATTTCATGCCAAACAATAGTGAATAGAATTGCATAAAGCAAATATTCATAGCTCACAATAATCTTAGATCTGTACAACATGCACTTGTTAATAATTAAATGGGGCAATATTTGATGTTGGAAAAATTAATTTTTTAGCCCTTCAATTTTTAATCCATTTGTAACTCATTCTTTTAACTATGACTCACTGCGATTCAATCCCTCAACTTTTCACTCACCTATGACTCAATCCCTCGATTTTTGACTCGTTTATGACTCAATCCCTTAACTTTTGTGTTCAGTCTTAATAACAAAACAGGGAAATTAATCTTTATCTAAATCTGGACAGGGATCTCATTCAAATTAGATAAAGCCAAGAGGGAGAATCTCCAAATAAAGAGTCAGAAATCATTCATATCCATTCCTTAATTAACTTACAGTTAAATGACACCATGAAGTGGCAGTTATAACTGTAACTTGACAGCACGCACAAACTGACATCCTAAAACTCGACAACTCAGCATTCTTAAGATAAGAAACATAAACTGCAATATTAAAATACTGACAGCACATAAGAAGTAGTTATTCAGCAAGAATAACTCCCTTATCAACTAACTTCATTCCTGTATTTTGACTTAAATCCTCCTTCCGTCTTTTATATACCAATAATGGACTTCCATCAGCATCCCCTCCTTTCAAAACAGCCTTGTCCTCAAGGCTGAAATGAGGAAATTGGTCCCGAACCAGGTCATATTCCTCCCAAGTTGATTCATCTTGAGGACGGCCAAGCCAAGAAACAAGTATTTCAAGTATGTTGAAGCTGCCTGATGAAATCCAGCGATGAGAAAGGACACTGTGAGGTTGTAATTGAAGCTCCCAAGTGTCTAAAAGTGGTAGAGGAGGTGGAGTGAAAGGAGAAGGAGTACCATGAGCAGGGTGCAACATTGAGACATGAAAAATTGGATGAATTTTAGCATCAGGAGGTAGGAGAAACTCATAAGCAACAGGTCCCACCTTACGAACAACCTGGTATAGGCCAAAGAAGCGAGGAGACAGCTTCTCACACTTTCTTTTTGGTAAACTGAATTGGCGATAAGGCTGGATTCTTAGATAAATATCACGTCTGTGAGCATCAACTTGAGCTTTCATTCTGGATTGAGCTTTGAGGAGGTTATCCTGAATAATCTGCAACATGGCGTCTCATTCCAAAAGTTGAGTTTCCAAATCAGCGACTTCGGTTTCACCAGACACATAAGGGAGAATAGGTGGAGGGGAATAACCATAGACAATCTCAAATGGAGTGAAGCCTATAGCAGTATGAAAGCTGGTTTTAAAAGAGTACTCGGCCCAAGGAAGATACTTACTCCATAATTTCAGTTGTTCATGTGCAAATCAACAAAAATAGGTTTCGACACAACAATTGACCACCTCTGCCCATCACTTTGTGGGTAATAAGCTATACTCATTCAAAGTTGAGTGTGACTAAGACGAAATAGTTCTTGCCAAAAGCACTTAGGAAGATTGGATCTCAATCAAAAATGATGGAAATAGGAACACCATGAAGTCGAACTACTTCACGACTAAAAACAACAGTGATGGACTTGGCAGTAAAAGGATGAGAGAGGCTAATAAGATGAATGTATTTGCTAAAATGATCAACCACAACAAATATGGTATCTATTCCACATGACTTAGGTAATCCAACAATAAAGTCCATGAAAATATCTTCCCAAATACAATGTGGAGGAGGAATAGGCTAAAGTAATCCTGCTAGAGACAAAGTCTAATATTTTGAAATTTGGCACGCATGGCAATCTTGAACATGCAGCTTGACTTCTCGCTCCATATGAGGTCAAAAGAAATGAGTTTGTAATCGTTTAAGAGCACGAAGGTATCCTCTATGGCCCCCTATAAGAGATGAATGAGCATCTGCCATCAACTTGGATTTAAGAGTAGGATGATCAGAATGACCAAACACCCTTCATAAAACAACTTCCCATTGACCAAAGCATAATGTTGAACAGTAGTAGGATCTTGAACAATGGAATTCTTAATGTGTTGAGTGAAAGGATCTTGATCAATCCATGCTTCTATGTCATCAAAATCTGTACTATGTGGAATAGCAAGAGCCATGAAATCAGCATGTTGAGGTTGGCGTGAAAGAGCATCAACACCACTATTATTACAGCCACTCTTATGTTTGATGGTAGAATCAAAGGGTAACAACTTCATTATAAGTCGCTACTAATCCAAAGTTGAAAGTCGTTGATCCATCAGATACTGAAGACTGTAATGATCAGTATAGATGTCAAAATGGCAACCAAGGAGATAATGACGCCACTTTTGTAGGGCTAACACTGGAGCTAATAATTCTTTGTCATAAGCAGATTTGACACGATTAGAAAATGTAAACCCTTTACTGAAGTAGGCAACGGGATGAGTATCCTAGATAAGAATGGCACCAATGCCTAAAGTTAAAGCATCACATTTTACGATGAAGGGCTTGTTGAAGTCTAGTAAATGAAGAATAGGTGCATTAATTAATGCATGTTTGAGTTGTTTTGCAAAGATTGCTCGACCAAGGAAGACTAATGAACAAGCAAGTTGGTGAGGTCATGTAATGAACAAGCAAGTTAGCCATAATGATGCACAAATCTTCTGTAATAACCTGTAAGACCAAGAAATCCCCACAATTCAGTAACATTAGTCAAATTAGGCCATTCCAACACAGCGTGTATCTAGGAAGGATCCATAGCAACCTCTCCAGATGAGATGACATGCCCTAAAAAATCTATCTGAGGTAAACCGAAAGAGCATTTCTTCCCATGAGCAAAATAAGCAACCTGTTGTAGTCTTGAGAGGAGTGTATAAAGATGTACTAGATGGTTAGCCATTGTAGGACTATAGACTAGCATATCATCAAAGAAGACAAGAATAAAACGCCTTAGATACAGTCAAAAAAGATCATTCATAGCAAATTGAAAGGTAGCCAGAGCCTTAGTGAGACCAAAAGGCATGACTGTAAATTCATAATGTCCTGAATGAGTTTGAAAAGCAGTTTTGTGAATGTCTTTAATGGGCACTTAAGTAGGATGAGGAACCTTACCTCAAAAGCTAGCTGTTGAAGTGGGAGAACCAACCCATTTATATACCCCATTAAGCATCTCATACTACTTAATGTGGGACTTGGTATCCCATATTATCAAGTCTCTATCAATTGGCCCCCCATGGAAAGCCGACATCTCGACGGCTACACTCCACAGCACTTAACTCGGTCTTCTTCCGGTTAGAACCCTCTATGGGTAGTCCTTTTCGAAAACGCCAACAACGAGGCTCTGATACCAATTGATGGGTACCTAAGTAGGATAAAGAACCCTACCTCAAAAGCTAGCTGTTGAAGTGAAAGAACCAACCCACTTATATACTCATTGAGCATCCCATACTACTCAATGTGGAACTTGGTATCCCATATTATCAAGTCTCTATCAGTCTTCAAGTTTAACTCTAATTTGGTGATATCTAGAACGCAAATCAATCTTTGAGAAGACTGTAGCCTCATGTAACTCATCAATAAGTTCATCAATATTGGGAATGGGGTATTTGTCAGGCATAGTTAGCTTATTTAACTCTCGGTAGTCAATGCAAAATCTCCGAGAATCATCTTTCTTCTTGACCAATAATACAGGGCTTGCAAACAGGCTTTCATTGGGTTGTATAAAACCCTTGGCTAATATATTTACCACCTAGCATTCAATTTCATCTTTTTGGTAATGTGGGCATCTATATGGATGAATATTTGGTGGTGTAGCCTGAGGCTGCAAATTAATAGAATGGAACTTGTGCCGAAGAGTAGGAAGAGCTGAAGGAGTATCAAAAATAGAAACATACTCATCAAGAAGGCTTTGTAACAGCCATTGGAAAGCATCTAGGTCTATAATAGGTTGTTGAGACATCGAACGCAAACTTGCTTCTGCTTGGTTGCCAATGTGGACTCCTTGGAGCTTGTACCTTTTGCCATTAACCCAGAAAACCATGAACATCCATTGCCAATTTGCTTGAACGGTATTCAAAGAAGATAACTACTTGATTCCCAATACTAGATCAACACCACCCAAAGAGAAGGGAAAAAAATCTTCAATAATTTCCAATGACTGAACTCATAAGGTAACTTGAGGACATATATTATTACTATAAATTATATGCCCATTGCCAATTTGAACTCCAAAAGAAGGAACCGGTTTAGTAGGAATCTATAAATTTTGCACCAATGTAGAAGAGATGAAGTTATAGGTGGAACCACTATCAATGAAAATAAGCACTTTATGATGATTCAGGATGCCTTCCATCTTTATGGTAGTACTTGCAGGGTGTCCTAAGATGGCATGAAGAGATATCTTTGCATGTAACTCTTGTTTGCCTTATAAGTTCAGTTCTTCAGACCACTCTGCTTCTACATTGGGTTCTTCAGTGATCTCCATAAGAGTCAAATTAGCATTTTTGCAGCGATGCCCTTGAATAAATTTATTACCGCAATGGAAACAAAGTCCCTTATCTCATCTTAACTATTTTTTTGCATCCTAGTTCGTGTTTGCACACTGTAGAAAAGTAGAGGAATTGGCCTAAGACTGCGCAGCTACTGTACCTATCGTGCGGGTGTCTTTTAAAGGCCACGTGATTGCTGCATGCATGTGGCTGCACTAAGAAGTTCCATAAGTCTTGGAAATTTTTGCATATTATAATTTGGACTCATATTATAAGGCTAAGCTCAAGGCCTTATAAATAGATCTTCTTTAAGCCCATTAAGAAAAACCCCCTAACAAACAATGTCCTGGCCAATTTTTCACTCTAGCAGATCTCTTTGCAAATTCCAACCGATACTCTTTTACTGTTCCAGATTGCTTAATTCCACACAAAATTCATCAGGGTTCTGAAATTCTACAAGACCGAAATTCTCTTGAAGAGTGCACACGAGATCTTCCTAATAAATTATTGAGCGTTCAAAAGTTGCCCATGCGAAAAGATCTAATGCGTTGCCTTCTAAGTAAATGGCCGCAACATCAACCTTCACATCCTCGGGAGTTTGGTAACATCTAAAATACTTTTTTGCTTTCAGTATCCAGCCTCTAGGGTCGCCTCCATCAAACTTTGGAAAATCAACTTTGGTATGTGATCTCCTTGTGGGGTTTTGAAGCCACCAAGGTATGTTTCTCTCGTCGTCTTCATCTGCTACAGAGTATGAGTTCTCAGGTTGTTTGCCTTTGTTTTGAGAAGATTGCCCGGAATCATCTAAGATATGTTGCTGCTGTAATTTTACTGCCGTAGAAATCCCATCCGCTACATTCAAACGAGAAGAAAGTTGATTTAGTTGCTGGACTATGGATTCTAATAAATTAGAGGTTGCTGAAGGGGCAGTGGGATCGATAGAACTGTTTGTAGTACTCACCATCCTGGGAAAAACCAGGCTCGAATACCAAAATGTTGAGTCTTAATAACAAAACAGGGAAATTAATCTTTATCTAAATCTGGACAAGGATCTCGTTCAAATTAGATAAAGCCAAGAAGGAGAATCTTCGAATAAAGAGTCAAAAATCATCCATATCCATTCCTTAATTAACTTACAATTAAATAACACTATGAAGTGGCAGTTGCAACTGTAACTTGACAGCACACACAAACTGACATCCTAAAACTTGACAATACTACTAACAGCACATGAGAAGTAGTTATTCAGCATGTATAACTCCCTTATCAACTAACTTCATTGATGTATTTTGACTTAAATCCTTCTTCCATCTTTTATATACCAATAATGGACTTCTATCATTTTGTTAGTTCGCTTTTTTCAAGTTAACTTAGATCCCGCATCAAAGAGCAAGAAGAGAGTATTTTAGTGTAAGATATGAGCATTTCTTTTATCCCTCTTATTTGATGAGGATAATTTTTTAAAAAAATTTGAAAAATAAGGACTAAGTTATAAGTGAATCAGAAATTGAGGAACTAAGTCGTAACAAGTTATAATTGAGGAACTGAGTCGCAATGAGTTATAGTTAAGGGATTGAGTTACAAGTGAGTTAAAAGTTGAAGAACTAAAAGATTAATTTTCCCTTTAATGTTTATCATAAATTGTTGATATACCCTTGTTAATAATTAAATGTTGGAATATTTGATATTTATTGTAAGCTCTGCCTATGTTATATAGCCAGTCCCAAGCTCGGGTAAAGGAGGAGGGTTGTTTTATTCCCTCAACAATTAACATAAAACTTTGTTGAATCTCACATAGATATGGATTATAGATGTATCTATGCTAATGCGCCCATAAGTAACACGCTACGTGACTTGAGTGCAGTGACAAGTGAGTTAGAACCGTTGCACTAGTGCCCAAATGTAGTGTTAAATGAGCAAGGCCTACCGCATTATTTTGGACAAGTGCAGCTAAAGAAGTTAATTCATGTGAGCAAGATCAAATTTGACACTTTGAATGTTGGGACCTTGAATGATAAATCTATGAAGGTGGTAGGAGTTATGATTAATATAAAAATTAATATCTTGTACCTGCAGGAAACTAATGTCCCAGTGAACAAACTAAGGATATTCAAGAGTTAAAGCTTTGGTATACTGAAAAAGTAAGAACACACAATAAGGTGGATATCATTGTTGATAAGGAGTGGAAGAAGAATGTGGTAGAAGTTAACAGAATTGAAGAAAAATTTATTTCCTTAAAAATGCTTGTTGGAGATGAGACTGTCAATATTTAATGAGATCTTGCAATCTAATAAAATGCCAAACAATTAGAGAAAAAGCACCTTAGGTCCTATTTACAAAATTAAAGGAGATATTAAAAATTTTGCTAACTACAGAGGGATTAAACTTATGAGCCATACAATGGAATTGTGGGAAAGAGTAATTGAGCATAAGTTGAAATTGAAAACTGATATTTTTGATAATCAATTTCGCTTCATGCCAGATAGGGCGATTACATAAATGATTTATCTATTAAGAGAATTAATAAAAATATATATATGCAAAGGTAAAGATTTACATATGATTTTCAATAATTTGAAAAAAACTTATGATCGTATATCGAAAGAAGTACTTCTAAAAGCTTTGAAAAAGAAAGGGTGTCTGGGTTGCATATATACGAGCTATACAATACATTATTAAGGGCAACAACTAGTATAAAAACATTTAGCGGCAAAACAAAAGACTTTCCTGTAAAGATTAGATTGCATTAGGAATCATCTCTGAATCCTCATTTGTTTAACCTAATCTTAGATGTTTTCACAGAGAATATTTACGAGAAAATCTCTAAATGCATGCTTTTAGTAGATGATATAATACTTATTGCGAAAACAAGAGAAGAGATTAACTGTAAATTTGAGTTATGGGGGAGGATATTGAAGTCAAAAGGTTCCTACTTGAGTAGGAGTAAGATGAAATATCTAAATTGTAATTTGAAAGTGAAATTAGATGATCAGGTTGTACCTTAAGTGAAAAAGTTTATATATTTGGGAGTAATTATTCAATATAATAAAAAAATTGATGGAGATATTGCACATAGGATACAAGTTAGGTGGTTTAATTAGAGAAAGGCTAAATGAGTTATTTGTGATTGTAAAGTGCCTATTAAACTTAAAGAGAAGTTTTACCGAACTGCTATAAGATCAAAAATATTATATGGTAGTGAATGTCGGCCTTTAACGAGACAGCAAGAGCATAAAATTAAAGTTGCAGAGGTGAAAATTTTGATATGGATGTGCGTACATACATGTACAGACAAAATTTGAAATGATCACATGCAAGAAAAGGTTGGCATCACACCTATTAAAAATTGATAGAAAATTGTTTGAAGTAGTTTGGACATGTACAAAAAGACCACGGGAAACACTTGTGAAGAGAATGAAACAAATAACTTTGAGCCCTATCAAAAAGGATAGAGGAATGCCAAAAAGAATACTTTTAAAAGTTGTTAATCGAGACCTCTTAAGTAACAATATTTTTAAAAGCTTCATAAATGATAAAACACAATAGTGTCGTATAATCCATATAACCAACCCACCTCGTGGGATAAGACTTGTTATTATATTTGATATTTATTGTAAATTGTTGAAATATGTAAATGTTATTTTTTATTCTTTTTGGTAGTTGGTAGTTGGTGGTTAGTTAGAGGTTGTATTCATTAGTTGGTTGTATTACCTATGTAAACCTTTGTAATTAGTTGAATCAATGTCAGAGAACATTCTCTCCCACTTTGTCATGGTATTAGAGCCGAACACTCAAACCTAATAGTTTTTGTCTCTGATTTTATTTTATTTTTCCATTCTCCTTCAGGGAAAAAACCCATTTTTTCCATTGCTTTCTCCTCTGTTCCAAACATCTCAGCACTGCCTCTTCAGACCCAATATCCTAGGGGGTTTATTTCTGCACAAGCGCCACATCACTGTAATTCTAGTCCTGTTCCCATGTACTGGCGCTTGAGTCTTCTCCAAGAGGAGGTTCTTGACGGTGCTTCTTCCTTAGATTCATATCTTCATTTCTAGTGACGTGGAGAAGCCAAAAGCAAAGAATTGTTTCAAGAAACAGTGCTGAATTAGAATTGTGAGCTATGACTCAAGGAATAACAAAAGAGTTGTAGCTATAACGAGTCTTGAATTAAATACAAGTTAGAGTAAGCTCACCATTAAAGCTCTACTGTGATAATAAGACTACCATAAGTATGGCCTTAAATCCAGTACCACATGACAGGTCTAAGCATGTAAAGATAGAATGACACTTTATCAAAGAAAAAGTAGAAGAAGGAATACTATATTTGATGTATTTTCCTACAAAGTTACAAATAGGTGATATTTTGACTAAGGTTATTTGGACTTGCATTTAAGAATTGTATAAACAAGTTGGATATCATTAGCATCTATGATCAAACTTGAAGGAAAGTGTGGAAATATTTGATATTTATTGTAAATATTGCATAGCTTTTATTAGTATTTATCAAGCTTCATTAGAAATTATTAGTAATAATTATTGCTTCTCCTATATACTCCTTCCAATCCTGTATATTAGATGCCTTCTAGAAGCACAATCTGATCCACTTTATAAGTCACCGGTTGATAGGATTGTTTTGTTTCAAATTGCAATCCCCAAACTACCCTTGAAAAGTAAGAGAGAGAGAGACAAAATGAAATTAGTATATGGTTTGTTTACTTTTTGCTTTTTACTTGAAGGTTATGTTTGGAATTTCACTTACTTTTATTTCTTATACTTTTGTTGTATTGGTATTGATGATGTTGATAAAAATGACTTATAAATAGGACCGGAGGAAATATATAATCAGTATGTACCTCAGTATGATCATCAATGAAAAAAATTCTTCTCTCTCAATTTCCACATTAAATAGTGTAAAATGAAGTAAACAAGTGGATAGAAGCTGTATAATTGAACTTACATCATTGCGGTCCACCAAGTCAGCAAGACGGCCTCCACTGGCCCAAATTCTATCTGTTATGCTCAGTACCCTTTTATTTATCCTCCACTTTGTATGCCCAAGAGTATCCAAAGCCTAACCACACACACATATGCATAGATATCACATATTTTTGTCACTGATTGCTCTTCTATTCAGACAAATTAGCATCAAAGCAGAATCTGCATATATTATACAACAGTAGCCAGAAGCCATTCCATGCCATGATAGTTGTCCCTCCAAAACAATTTCCATTTATTGGTGATAAAGAAGTTATTTTCAATAAACTACTAAGTAATTTATTGCAAATAATATAATGTAATTATTATAGATTTCAATAATCCACAAAGCAAACATATAGTGAAAAGCTTTTATACCAGAACTATTTGAGAAAATTTAATCAAGTTTTATCAATATTCTTATAATAAAATAACAAATAATTAAAAAAAGAGCTAAACCATCTAAAACATATAAAAAAGAAATGCAGAGCAAACAAGGCCAGTATAATCCTATTCATTGACTAGAACTTTTTATATGTTAATTATACTTAGTAGTTACAATCAGTGTTGATTTTAATATCCTTTTTCAAACAATAATTGCTAAGAAAAAATATTTGACTGAAAAAGTGCTGCTACAACATATTACGTTAAAAAATTGGTCATTGCATGATGAGAATTTTAATCTTGCTATCATATTTATTTGGGAAAAAAAAAGAGTACTGTTTATTCCAAATCAAAAATTAAAAAAACAAATGCTCTAGACGAAATGCTAATCTAACATCTAAGCTAAATAATATAAAACAGTGTGAACAGTAAAGAAGCATCAAGGTTTGTCCGTCGCATTTATACTCCAGCAGTCTCCCAGTGCACACATTTCTAACTCTAAAACCATAGCTTCTTAGGCCAATATCAGCACTGACAATCATCTCAAACATAAAGTTCCCTATTTTATTCATAACTTTCTAAAAGAATCATAAGAAAGAAATTTAGACCTCAAATACTGGTTCAAGTTGCTTCAGAGGGGCCCTTTTAATAGCTTCACGTTGTTGCTTGGCTCCATGAGTGCGCATGACGTAGGATGGTAAGAACAAGTGTCCACCTTTGTCAAAACTGCAGAGTACATCAAAGAAAGAATTCAAAAATCGACAATTAAGTTGATCAATCAGCCAAGAAAGAAAATCTGTGATTTTAAACAGAGAACACATGGGACAGAAATAAATACTAAAAAGTTACCGTACCCAGTCCATTTAACTGGAGGAACCAACATCGGCATATAGGGAATCACCATATTTCTAGCCTGTTAGAAAAGATAAAAACATGAAGTATCAGCAGCGAGGGAAGTAGATGAAAATATACATAGATCAACAGACAATGCAAAATTGCAATGATTTTCAGAGAAAACCTATTGAAATAGCGTCAACAGGAATTACAGAGGGCTTTGATGTCCACCAAGATAAAAGGCTTATAACCCTCCAAAAATTCATAGCAATTACTCAGAATGGGGAGAAAAAATGGGGTGCAGTAGAATAATATTATAGTAAAAGTGATCATCTGGGACTATTATAGTAATATTATTACATACAATTGGGGAAAAGAAAACCAATGAGAAAAATATTAGAACAAGCAGGGTCACTTGACCCAAGTTGCCAAAGGGAGGATCTGCTTATTGATGTACATATCAGAAGTGTTACTTGTATTCTCTGCATCAGAAGTAAGATAGTAGTATTAATCCTATAGTGTTCAGATATCCAACAACAACAACAACAACAACAAGCCTTTATCCCACTAGGTGGGGTCGGCTATATGGATTGCAAGACGCCATTGTGCTCTATCATTTATTAAGCTTTTAGAAATATTATTAATTAAGAGATCACGTTCAACAACTTCCAAGAGTGTTCTCTTAGGCCTTCCTCTACCTCTCTTAATCGGACTCAAAGTTATATGTTCCACTCTTCTCACTGGTGCCTCCCTTGGTCTTCTTTGTACATGCCCAAACCATCTCAATCGATTTTCTACCATTTTTTCCTCAATAGGTGCCACCCTCACTTTTTCACGTATATGCTCATTTCGAATTTTATCTTTACGTGTATGTCCGCACATCCATCGTAACATTCTCATCTCTGCTACTCCAACTTTATGCTCTTGCTATCCCGTTAGAGCCCAGCATTCACTACTATATAACATTGCCGGTCTGATAGCAGTGCGATAAAACTTTCCTTTAAGTTTATTAGGCACCTTACGGTCACAAATAACTCCTTTAGCTTTTCTCCAATTAAACCACCCAGCTTGAATTCTATGTGAAATATCTCCACTGATTTCGCCATCATTTTGAATAATGGCTCCCAAATATCTAAACTTTTCCACTTGAGGTATAATTTGATCTCCCAATTTCACTTCCAAATTATTTTCAATAGTCCTTTACCAAATTTACAATATAAATATTCCGTCTTACTTCTACTCAGACGAAAACCTTTCGACTCCAATGTCCTCCTCCATAACTCAAGTTTGCAATTAACCTCTTCTCTTGTCTCTGCTATAAGAACTATATCATCCGCGAAGAGCATACATTTCGGGATTTCCTCTTGAATATGTTTCGTCAAAACATTTAAAATCAAGTTGAACAAATAAGGATTCAGAGATGATCCCTGATGTAGTCCAATCTTTATAGGAAAATCCTTTGTTTAACCACTAGGCGTTCTTATACTAGTTTTTACCCCCTCATACATATCTTGTATGGCTTTAATATAAGCAATCCGTACTCCCTTTTTTTCCAACGCTTTCCAAAACACTTCTCTTGGTATACGGTCATAAGCTTTTTTCAAATCAATAAAAACCATGTCTAGATCTTTATCTTTAGTGTTCAGATATCCAAAGGAAAAAAAATTGACATCAAAAGGGGCCAGTGGCATCTCAATAGCAAGATTAAAAGTAGCTATTGAAGGCTAAAAAAAGTCGAAAGTAGGGTTATTAAAACTACACAGTAGAGAAATGCAAAATACAAATTGTCCTTAAGGAGAGGATGTGAGAGAAGCATATTCAACTACAATCAAGACATTCTAGTTCAGATGTTTCTATATCGATCAGATTCTGGGGAATACAATGAACACTCTAAGATTGGTCTACCTACAAAGGGTTTTGACAGACAAGAAATCAAAGTAAAGAGTTAAAGTGCAGTTGCCGCAGGATGTCAACTCTAAAAGAACAACCAATTGATGGACACCAAGGTAATATATGATGGGCACACAAATAGAGTGGAGAAATCTCTCCCAAAATTAGGCCCCATTTGGGATGCCTGATGGAAAAGGCAAAGGAATCCATTGCACAAAAATTGAGATATGCAATGTCAATTAACCTCCTATTATTATTACATAACCTTGATAGTCCCATTTTATTCAGGGATATAAAAGACACTTCTCATATTAAAAATCAATTACTTCAACCTATTTCTTGTTCTATTTTGTTCCCCTTTTCTATACCAAATGCAGCCTTAGCTATTGCAGCAAAAGAGCTAAGCTACTTAAATACCCCGCAGAACAACCTATTCTAACCCATATGGAACCAGGCATTCAATATAGTATTAGTCTCCATTATATTAGCTACACCATTTTCTCCCATCAAAAAAAATATCTCAATTTTTTCAATTCCCTAAGCAACACTCACAGTGATTGCAAAAGAAACACCTAAACAAGTAAGAGAACACTGCAAACTCTAGAATCTTACTAAATGTGCAAAGGAAATGCAGGACGTTATCTCTACTAGAAATCCAACCAAACTAGCCAAATTCATTCTAGCCTGTTATCCTAATCAAAAGCTCTGTAAACTAATGAGAACAGGGGGAAAAAAAACCAACACTGATATCACAAACGACAAACCATCAGATCTTAATTTAAATTAATGAGTAGAAAGTGATCGAATAAACGTACAGTTTTCTCAAGGCCTTTGAGAACTATAGGGTTGCATTCTATAACACCATATTTTCTGCCTGAATTTCTGAGTAAAAAAAAAAAAAACCACAATCATTTAGTAAAGTACTGCATGAAAAATTTAAACATTTCCATTCTAAAGAGAGATTGATGCTCACACTCCATGTTTTATCACTGTTTTGAATGAATGAAAGAATGCGGGTTGGACATCAGGTGGACAATCCCATGGTTGATCAGATGGAGGTTGTACATAGGCTGTCTGTATCAATATCTCAATTAAGCGGCTGCCTACCTGTGAAGTACAAGAAAACCATCTTTTTAAAAGGAATATAAATGGCATGAATGAGCAGTCACAGAGTTTGGAAAAGGTTATTGATACCCTAGCCTTATTATCCTGTCCCCATGGTCTAAAATCATCTTGGTCCTTCACCATCCGCCTCACTACAGCAAGCTTTTTCTTTTTCATCAAATCAGTAACCTTTTTCCGCAGCTTATCCTGTTCCCTGACTAAGGCATTGGAATTATCTGCCTCTTCTTTCTTTGCTGTATCACCCTTTCTTTTTTTAGTCTTCTCCAAGAACTTGCATATTCTAACCTGCCATCAAATTACAGGTGGCATGTAAGGAAATCAAGAATTATGTCTCTTGATATCTGCACATCATATAAACCAGCTCACCAAAAATTATTGCTGTCCATTCTTATGCATTGACAATAAATAAATCAGATCACTGTCCCCAGCACCTTCACCTCAGTAAAGCCTGGGTTTAGCGTTAAGGGATTATAAGAAAGCTATTTATGGGCCTTCACTTAGTAGTTTAAACTTATGAACTCCATTAGCCCATGACATGGAAGAGCTTCTATAACCAAATAGTAAGGAGGTTGATCCTTGCCTCTTATTATTTCCTCTTCATCAGAATTAAATTTCAACACAAGGTACAATGGGCCTTTGCTTTATCTACACTTCAAGCTCAATAGGCTCTCATGTGAGAGTGTCTGATCTAGACTCATTCATGAACCTTCACAATCAAGCTTAAGCTTTTGAGGGGAATTGATCCTTGAAACGATAACCAAGGAGGCTTAAAAATCTTGGACCCTACTTTATTTTCAAAAAGTACTCTTAACAGATGAGATTTTGCTTTAGTTGAGTTTGGGAAACTAAACAAAAATTATGCTCCTTCTCATCTTCCATTGCATGCAGAAGTTTTCTATTCAAAACTTCAAATAGCCTAAAGATTTTCTGTACTAGATAGTAGAGAAATGGCAAAAACCAACACCATTACATGTTCTGAAAACAAAATCCATAATCTTATACCATGATTTATCCCATGCATTTCAATCAAGTAATTTTGAGCAGCGACATCCAAATAGAGTACAAAATGAACATGAGCAAGATGAGAGAAACGAAGTCACACCTCACTCTCGATGGCATCACCCACACTGCAGGCAGCATGTACAACTTTTACATAGCCATGCTCACCTCCAGTCATCAACAAACTCACCAACTTATGCATTGTGATAACAGCCATCATGTCTGCTGGTAACTGATCAAAGTAGGGTGCATGTGCCAGTTTAATTTTACTAGCCTGGCACAACTCTTGTTCCTTGGCAATGGCATCACGAAAAGGCTCAAACCAACCAAGGAATAGTTTTTTCATATATGGCAAATTGGGTGCCAGCTTCTGCTCACACATGTCCATCAAAAGTTCCCTGTACTCTTTTGCAGCTTGCTCCCATGCCTCAGTCTCAATCTTAACCTGCCTTCTTCTCAGTAACTGATACTTCGACTGCGACATGCCCCGAGCCAAATACTTCATACGTCGCCATCTCTTGATAGCCTGCTTCCTCTCTTCTTTCTTCATCTCTTTCATTAAGTCTTCAACTTCATCATGCGAATCTTCCTCGACATCAGTAGAAGTTACAGCTTCGGCAACACTGGAATAGCCTTTAGGAAAAAATTCACTGAACCCAACCTGATTTCTCAAGCAGCCAGAATTACTACGACTCCCCAAAGAATATTCTTCTAGCGACCAAATTCCACTGCTCCGAGGATTATAACCAATTCCTAGAAACCCGCATTTTAAGCCAGAAATGGATCTTCCTGTGAAAACTGAACCCCAAGAATGACCAAAAGAAGTATAAGCATTTAAGGGAAGGTGCAAACCAAAGCGAAACCCGTTGCTTTTCGAAACGATTTGTTTTGCAATGTTCCTCCACATAATTGTACCACTCCTCGAGTGGTTAGGTTGGAAAATAATCGGTTTCTTATCCAAAGGAAGGAAAGAACCAGGTCTCTTGTCGAGATTATAAATGAATAAAGGGGGTTTACCACTGAACATCAAATTGTATCGAAAACGGTTCTCAGAAATAAAACAAATTCAATGTGATTGAAAAGAGTAAAAGAAATACATCAACGAAGAAGTGGGCCAAAGCTCTGACATTGATCAAGGAAGAAGAGTGGCCGCCTTAAACCCTGCATAAATCTTTGTCTCCCATATGCCTCTACTGTTTGGTTTTTATCCAAACAAGCCCTAAGCTTATGCTAATTGTGTTAGTGCCCCAAAATCTTGAGGATTTATATTTGCGCTTACATAATGACATGGACCTAAAGTCAAAACATGATTCAACCTGAGAGGGACCAGGGGTCTCTCCACTTTTTCCCCTCCCTTTCCCTCCACTTCTCCCATCCTCATCATTCAAATTTTTTTATTAAATAATTTTTTTAAATGATAAAATTAATGAATGGTGAGGATGGGGGAAGTGGAGGGAAATGGATAAAAAGGAAGTGGAAAGACCCCACTTCCACTTGAGAGAGTATGGATTGGGAGAGGGCTCTCCACGTATGGATTGGACTAACCTCAACGCTTGCTAGGCTTAAAACTAATTATTATTGTAAAAAATACACCATATATTTCTCTAATGTTTAAGGTCGTTGAAATTTTAATTAAGCATAATTAATTATAAAAAAATTAATTAATATAATTGATTTTATTATAACATGATCATGTTTGAATATTATTTTTTAAAATTAATTTTAATAGAATTAAATATGTTTAGATGATTTAATTAAAATTAATTTTGGATGTACATATTATCATAAAGGATATTACTTTTAAAAATTAAAATATTAATAAATTTGCATATAATATTATTAAATTTGTTCAACTTTATTTAACAAGTAAAATATATTATTTAATTTATATACCCAATTAAATTAACGACATGATTTTGCAAATATTTTTTTACTTTTCTTTGAAAATTATGTATTATTATGCATCATTTATTTCCTAATATTTTTTAAATTTTAAAACTATTTTTAAAAAATTAATATGCTTAATAGACTAAGTTTGCATAGCAGTCGGACCGTAATGATGCACACGTTTTTGGAAGGAAGAAAATACATATGGATAATTTTTACTTTCCAGAAACCACAAGCCATGCACAGATACATTAGAGTACAATTGGGTTATTAAAAATTGACCTGCGATTAATGTAACAATGGATAGAATCGAAAGGTAATAGTAAGATAAATCAGCTTCCTTAAAAACGTAGATTAAAGCATAGAATCGATTAATGAAAAAAAAAAAAAGTGAGTGAGTGGATCTTTTTATACAAAAACAGGTTTTATATGCTTAGAATCGATTATATAACATATCCAAACAGGCTCTAAAGATTATGGAAGATTTATTCTTAAAAAAAATGTGGGTTTTAGAATTTAACAATCAAGATTAAAATATATTTTCAAGATTATTTTAAGATGTTTTACATAATAAAAATATAACAATATGGATCTTTTTACTTTTCTAAAATAAAATAGCGAAACTTAACCATTTAATCCCTTTGACACAATCATAACTCAATTTTTAAATGTTAACTCAATATAACTTGATCTTTATAGTATTGACCTTGTTGTAACTTGGTTTCTAAACTTTGACTTTCACAACTCAATTTTTATAGTTTTAACGATTTAAAATTGTTGAACCATGTGTTTTGATAATCACTACTTGTACAAAGTTAAGAACTGTTGAAGTAACAAAACCTTTAAGAGTATGAAGATCAAGAAAAAACTTAGCATAAATAGGTTTATTTATTTTCTTATTTTAGATTCAATATGAAAACTATGAGAGCTCAATTGCATAACTTTAAATGATAAGAATGCATCATTTTAAGAACTATTCTTAAGCTCATGAGTCTATTAAACTTAAGTGTCAAATCTTTATAATAAACCTAAACCTATTGTGCCATTCCACACTTGATCTAGGTAGATCTATGTGTGAGCTATTCCACACTTGAATTAGAGTGATCCATGCATGTTTTGGCATCTATGTGTAGGAAGTGTCTTGGAGATACTTTTGTATTCTAATTCGTGCTTGAGTGCATTTTGTGCTCATATTTGAATTGTCCAAGAGTGTTAGCTTAGGTTTGCACAAGTGACATTCCACGCCTAGATTAAGATGATCCACACTTGAAATGGAACATGCTCATTTTGAGAAGAAGCCTGACCTTAGAGAGCCTTAGAACCAAGTAAGATAAATCAAGCTTGTTTTGAAGTGTTACAAGTGTGTTTTGTCACATCGAAAAATCAAATACTTCTGCCATCCATTCCATGCTTAAGAACCATTAGTGCCCACGTGTGATTTGTCACACAAAGAAGTTAAGTGTTTCTGCCTTTCAAATCACGCTTGAGAATATTATAGCCTCATGCTTGAAATATCTTGAGAGAACTAGAGCCTAAAGCCTTAACTCCATTCCAGATATGGATCAGACCAATTCATGCTTGAATTAGGCTCTGACACAACATTAAATGCTATGCAAGAAAAGTGACTTTTTGTGATGTTCTTCATTCTTATATGTATTCAATGGCTATAATTCATTCTTAGAGTATTCTAATGATTTAAACTATCTAAAATTATATATAAGATCTCGTTTAAGTTAGTGGGTAATCTTAAGAACACATTTATTGAGCATTAAGTGTCTGCATTCATTTTCTTGCCAACTTATTTACAGTTTAATGAAGAAGCTCTTACAAATTTATAAGCTTTTATTGTAATTCATTTACTCTTTTCAGAGAGTCTTTTATAAAAGTTTTGTTTATTTTATTTGAGATGAAATCTTAAGTGCATTGTAACAGCTTGTTAGTATAACAAGTGATATTGTTGAATCAAGAATAGTGTAATCTTGAGAGTTGTATTATAATAACAAGTACTTATTAAAGCTTGTGTTTATAATTAAAAATTTCAAGAGTAATCTTAAGAACTAGACATAGATTAAGTGATTAGATTGAACCAAGATAAATTAATTGTGTCAACATTTTCTTCTCAAGCCTATTAAATTTTTAGTTTTCTATATTGAATTCTTATTTACATTCACTTGGGTTGGAAAAAGCTTAGAAAATTTTTTGAACATCCACTTCACCTTTCTTTAGATGCCAGCCTTATCCAATAAAAAAATTGGTCCCTATATTTTTAAAAAATTTATAAAGATTAAACCTTTCTTAAAAATTTAATCTTTATAATCATTATAAAGATTAAAAGGATTTAGTAACTTAAAATATTAGTCCTAAATTCTAACATAATTTTAATATTTATAATTTTATTTTTTACATTATAAGAACCAATATTTTAAATGGTTAAAACTATAAGAATTAATTTGTAAGAATCAAAGTTCAAGAATTAAGTTACAAGTAAGTCAAAACTATAAAGGTTGAATTACAACAAGTTAAAGTTTAGATATTGAGTTGCAACTCAATTAAAATTATAAAGATTAAATGATTAATTTTTGAAAAACATACCTTTTGATCCCTGCACTTTGCTCGTATTTTGTTATAGGTCCTTGCATTTTTTTTCTATATTCTGGGTCTATATACTTTCATTTTTTGGTGTTATAAATCCTTAAATGAACAAAATGAGCAACATATAAGGACCTTGGATGAATGTAAAATATCAAAAAATGAAAGTATAGAGATACAAAAGACCAAAAAAAAGTGCAGAAATCTATAACAAAATACGAGCAAAGTGCAAAAAATAAAAGGTATGTTTTTCCTTAATTTTGTTCAATAAAATATTTATAACAATATGCTCAAATATAAATATGTTCCTTTGACACAAAATGAACTTAGGCCTTGTTTGGTTCAACCCTATTACAGTCTTGAATGGTAATCAATGGTAATATAAATCCTATTACCATGTAAATGTGTATTTGGTTGACATTTTCACACTAGTAATGGTAATTATCATTACAAATAAGATCTAACGTCTTAGTAACCATTGCATATTCTAACCTATTCTAGCAAACCAACTACAAACTAACTTTGCAAGCTATCTATCTATTTACATGCATGCATGCTTTTCACAATTAGTTTACAACATCATTTCTCAAATATGGTCATATGAGAATGTAGCTTCTCACAATCAAAGTGATATAAAATAAGAAAAATTCAATTTAACAAGTAATGTGTAACCTTGTCTCACACTTACATCCCATGACCTGTAACTTATTCCCACAAATAGTAGCTTCTATTGAGGATACACTTGTCTAAAAGTGTATTACTTTTGGAATTAAACTTTCATCCTCAAAAGAAGGTTCTCATCGTCCCAAAACCTAAACCAAGGTAACAAGGGACTGGAGAGAGAAGCCATAGTAGAGGTAATAGCACATGACAGCAGATAATCAATTGCCAATCTCCAATACACAATCATAATGAAAAATAATATTATTTCCTCTTTCTATCACATTCTAAAAATCATTTCAAAATAATCTAGAATCACCAAGCATGCTAGAAAAGAATAAAACTCATGTTATTCATTTTATTTAACTCTAATAGCCACAAGTATGCTTGACATAATCGAATCCTAATCATTCCTCTCTCTAGTTAAAATCTCATCCCCAGTTCATATAAAATTTCCAATTTCCTACCACTTAGGTCCCTCCAAAATTTCCAAAATCATATCTATGTTTAAACTATAAATTCTAAACCAATGAAACCTTAATTTCATTTAACATAGATAATCATACCCTAAGCATCAATTTCAAGTTTACACAGCCTAATCATTGTTAACCATCATAAACTTATCTTAAATGGCAAACCTCAATCCCAAATCCCAAACTTTGACAAATCTAAACCAATTAAACACCCAGTCAAACTTTATAAACTCATTTAAACCCATTTTGTTTGGTGAAATCACCCTCAAGTTTGGATATCTCCAAAAATCCCAAATTCCATCAAACTAAAACCTAAAAAATCAAGAGTAGGGGGAAGCTAGGCCACTTGAAAATTTGGAAACTTGAAATCACTCTTAGGAGGCCAAAAATTCAAGCCCTAGTAGAGCCCAAGTCATTCTCTTTTTCCTCTCTTACTTTCTATTTGATTTTTTGTAAACTAGACTTGATATACCGAACATATCCGGTGCCAGATGTGCCTTTTTTTTTGTTCGGTGCTAGATACTGCCACTTAAAGTAGTCCTGCATTGCTTTCCACATCTGCATGCAAATTGCAAAACACCCACAACACTAGTTAAATCTGTGACCGAGCGCGGATAGAGGGTGTGTTCTAACCCTTGGAGCCATATCTATGGTTGAACACAATGGCCTATGTCTTATCTATAGCCGAATGGCCAAAACCCAATTTTCATCTGAAATTTCCTTATTCAAATCCCTAAAATAAACCCAGATCAATTCCCACTAGATCTAAGTCCTCTAATGAAATTCCAAGATGTTGCAATAACTCTCCTCACCTCTATAAATTTGCCATACAAGGTCCCAATATTCCAAATATGGAATTTGATCTTCTTCATATATACTAACCTCTTTTACCCGCATCTATCCAGAATAATGCAGAAACCCTTTTTTATTTAGCACCATATTTGAGTGTTGATATAATGACTCTAGCTTACTTGCCACTATACTCTAGAGATATAGTGTGTTGCTCAAGGGCAGCGATCTAACATTAATAATTTTATTGTTCATATTCATGAAAGATATTGTATTATATTTGATAGTTTCATATTGATATCAAGGGCTTAATATAACCCTTTTCCTTATCCAAACTTGTAACATCCTGATTTTTATATAATAAAGAAGTTGTGGAATTTAGGTTTTGAGGAAAAAATGATAATAATAGGAATTTATATTATTTGAGGTTATTTAGAAATGATATTATGGTTAGGTATTTAATTATAAATTTAAAAATTTAAATTTAAAATCACATAAGCAATATTTAGTTAAGATATAATACATAAATAATTTTTTATTGTGTGTTAAAAAAAAGAGAAGGTAGAAGGAACAAAAAAAAAGGGGGGGTGGAAGGTTGTTGTTTCTAAGTCCCACATTGGTTAGATGAGGAAACAGAAGAGGTGCCTTCATGTATAAAAAGGAGGGGGTGTGTGCATTAGGAAGCATGAGAGGCTAAGATACAATTTAGAGGAAATTGTAACTTTTGGCCCAAAGGTTTGAATAATTAAATTCGAACCTATAGTTTTTTTTAATATAATTTTGGGACCACAATCCCATTTTTATATTATTTTTCTCTCTTCCTCTCACGTTGCTCGGCGTTTTTCTCACAAGGGGGGTTATTTTCTTTTTCTTCAGGTATGTTCTAACTTTTCTGTTTAGATTAGCATTTAAAAGTTTATTTAATTACAGAATTAATTTTATAGTTATTTTTTAAATAACATTAGCTTTCTAGTTATATGATTATTTTATAGGATAGAGTAAATATTCTGATTAGGATTTTTTTCTATAGGATAGTTAATCTGATGATATGATGGATTAAAAATATAGGTTAAAACTCTTAGGGATATAATAAATATTATAAAATATTTTTCTTGAGGTTAAAACTCATGTTTAAGAATTTTTAAGTTAAAATCTAGATCTATATGGTTGAATTTATGTGGAATCTGAGATGTAGGGATAAACCTATGATTATTAAATATTTATTTAAGTATGAATAGGTATTTTTGAGGTTATAGAAAGGTAATTTGAGGCTTCAGGATAATTTTAAAATTTTTAATTTATTTTTGGACGAATTTTTAGAATATAGAAGGATGAAATTGTGATACTAGAAGTGATTTGAGGATAAAAAAATAGTTTATTAGGGTACGAGAATTTTAGAAAAAGAATTTGGGAAGTTAAATGAGGCATAAATCTTAAATTAGTATTAATATGAATTATAGATCTAAGACTTTCTAATTCTTTAAATTAGAGTTATTTATTTTAATATAAAATTAATATATAGTATTGTGAAATAATTATGTAGATTATATTGACAAAGATAGTGGTGAAAAAGGAGTTGTGAAGGGGAACTTGTTATTCAAGACACAAGGTAACCATTATTAATGTGTTGTGATGAGTGTGTTTGTGAATGGTTATGTGTTGTTTTGTTGTTTGAAAAAATTATGAATTATTAAAAATAAATACTGTATATACTTGTTTGAAATTATTGCCAAGTGGGTTAAAAATTTATCTTTGTTTATCATGATGAGATATTATTGTTCGGATATATTCCTGTTTGGATATTTGAATGATGCATGACTTGTCAGGATATTTTAATGTATGGTGTTAATGGGAATTTCTGTTCGGTTAATTATTACCACGTGGTAAGCCCTCATTGGACCCAATGAGTGGCGTGTCGCTTGGTCCAACTCACCTTTGGCCGGGTGATTTGGCGTCCGAGCATGGTGAAAGGAGGATATAAGGTGTAGTCATGCAATTAAATACTTGTTCGGTTTGTTTGAAAATATTATTCAGTTAAATGTTTTGTGTGCCCACTTAGCAATCGCATAATTAGTTACATCCGCATGTATCATTACATATTAATTTTTGGTTACTGGGACTTTTAAGTCTCATTCCCCGTGGTTAATATTTTTACAAGAGCGAGTCCGACCGAGAAAGCACCAGAGGTGTAACTGTGGTGTATGAGACACCATCTTTTACGTTGCCTCTTATTTTAGATTATACAATGTATCTTGTGCCAACTTAGGACATATCTTCTTTGTGAAGCATGTAAACTCTAATCCTTTTTATTAAAAGTATTTATATGACCAAGAGAATTATGTCTGTCCCTCTTGATTTATGATCTGATTTGAATAATATGCTATGAGGATCATTTCTGTCCCTCATGGTTCTAATTGCTTTTTTGAGATATTTTAAGACCTGTGGTATATTGTCTTGGATGTATCATGGTAGAAATTTTTCTACCATGATAAGGGTTCAATGAAAAAAAAAGATTTGTTGAATTAATAAATTTGCGAAAAATCGGTTTGTAAATTTGAGGGTGTTACAAAACTTGGGACCAACTATAAAATATAGGTGGAGTTAAGCATCCACAATGTCTTCTTTTAAAATTTGTTTTTTTTTTTCATAAAAATATGCCTACTTTAATTTTTGCTTATATAAACTAATGGAAATGGATCGTTTTTCCTTTCTCGAAAAATTTAAATTTTGAATCTTAGGCTAAACAATGCATTTTCAAATGATAATTGAGAAATCTAGAGCAGGTAGCTAACAAGTCTATTTTGAATTTGATCATACTAGAATATGAATCCCAAAAGTGAAGTTTTAAATACATCACATTATTCATATTGTTTTAATACAATTTCATATCTTCGCTCAACCAATAATAATACAGTTTCATATCATCATATGATATATAGAAAATATGAAGATTTTAACCAGTGTGCAGAGCAATGGTGTGTAAATACATATTATATTTTATTTGAAAACGAGTGTAACATATTTCTAAATTCTAATTTTGTATCTAACAAAGTACAATCTTCTAAATAAGAAAATAATCAATAGCTAAAGGATTGATGCGCACCTAAATTTCTTGGAAACTTAGTGAATAGCCATCAACCATCAAATCCAAAATAATATCAAGTTAAGGGGTAAAAATGTCCCAAAAATTGTTTGAAAGGAGCAATGAGTATCCTTCCTTTTTGAAAGGAGCAATGTTGTCTTGAAAATGTTAAAAATGGAGCAAGGTCACTCTTTTCAACCTTTGACAAATGTTGGTTACTGAAATTTTGACAATCTCTTAATGCTGACAATCACGCTTCACTCTCAGCACACCTAGAAGGCCACGTGTAGTGAAGGAGGAGATGAAGGTGCAAGCCATGAAAGCATCTCAGCACCTAGAAGTGTAGGGGATGAGGAAGATGGGAAGAGTTCAATCTTGTCTTTGAAAGAAAGAGTGGTGAGCTTGAGTTGAACAATTTCTTGAGTGACAAGAGCCAATGAAAATGAAGATGGGTAATCTGCAAAACATGAGACCAGGTGGCGACCTTCATGCTGCTGCAAGATTCGATGACCTCAACACTATTCAGTCAATTTCAAGTTCAAACCCTTTAGCTTTGGTAAAAAAAAAAAAAAAGTTCAAACCCTTTAGCCATCAATTCTGGAGGTAAGCCAAGGCTGGAAAGACCCCTTTGAGTCTGTTAAATTTCGATGCTTTGCATATTTAATAGCCAAAAGGGTCTTTCTAGTGGCAGGTGGTCCAACGAAAAGGCATCATTTGTTAGAGGTTGAAAAGAAAGACACTGCTCCACTTTTTACACCTCCAAGGTAACATTACTCTTTTTAAAAGATAGAGATACCCTGCACTCTTTTTAAAAATCTTCTGAGACATTTTTATCCCTTAATAATGTTTAATATCCCCATCTCCAATAGATTTCTTTGTTAAAAAAATTGCATGTTCAACTTATTAAAAATTGATAAATAAAATCAATTGCACAAAATTTTCAAGCAGGCAAGCGAAACTGCTTGCTGGCAGGACCACACAGGGTGAGCGTAGTTTCACTGAGTCACAAGAGCTTCAGCCTCAATTGTTTCCATAGAAATTTCTATAACTGATTTGGTCTACTTATTGTAAAATAATGAACCTAAGAATCTTTCTGTCGCCACGGCCAGATATCAAAGCCTGAAAAAAAACAAAAAACAAAAAAACAAAATTGCAGTAATCTTACAAACTACCCAATTTACAACAGAATATCCATTCGAGGCTGAAATTTGCATGCTCTTGGATCATAGAAATGATTCAGATGTCATTTACATGGCACCAAGACAGAAATCTGTCAACAAATCCATATGCTTCCAAAGGCTTCTTCAAGCGCTCTCTTCCTACTAATTTCCACACTCCATCCTCCAGCCCTGGCACCTCTCTCAGCTCGCAGTCTCATGGTTTCTTCATCATCACCCGCATAGCCCAACATGTCACCACCTCCAAGTGGCACGGGTTGTGGACCCATGCCAGTCGGTCTTGGCTGTCCAGCAAATGTGGGCGCATATTGCCCCTGTGGAACACCAAATGCTGCTTGAGAGGTTTGGTTTTCGCCCTGTCAAAGAAAGAATAGGGTTACTTTGATGCATGCCAACTTCTAGCATGACAAAGAAAATCCTTTTGGCACGCACACGTCTTTACTGAACCAAGATGGCTGGATAATTCAAAAACAATAATAACAACCCTCATCCATTAAATGAGATCATTTATATGGATAGTCGTTAGACTCTTTCAACATCTAAGTTTTCAAAAAACTCATTCACCATGAGATTCCATTTTATAACTCAAGAGTCTTTCCAGTTCTTCCTCTGCATCTTTTCACAAGGAAGCAGATTGAGCAATCGTTGATGTGAAATTCAATGGTTTAGTTTCTTGCATAAATAGGCAAAACCTGTTAGCAATATATGATTTGTGGAATCCTATGGGGCATATAAACAAGGAATGATATAGACACAGTACAAATACAAGAATACCGCAAGAAAAATACAAGATAGGAGGATATGTTATTAAACCAAGGATTTTTCTCCCATTTGACAACTATTAAAGTTGCTGGTTAACGATAATCGCTTCATTTTTACACCAATGATTACTCACTTTCACATCACCGACTAAATTAATTTGTAACCAGCACCTATAGAAGAGTCCAATTCTAGCATTCAATACAAGCTTACAATCAATGAAAAACATAGCAATGAAAAGCTCACCCCATCATTATCAGTTTGTGCAGGCTGTCCCTTGCAAGCTGCCAGAGCTGCAGCTAATTCTTCTGCCTGTTTGATGATTATCAAGATGATGTATAAAGAAACTTGGCATAAATACAAACGTAGAACAGACTTATCAAATAAGGTCGTATCCTAAAACCAGATCCATAAAATTATGCAAACGAGAAACATTTTCAGGGAAGCAGATCGGATAGGATTGAAGCAAAGATAGACCATTGACAGCAGTACCTTCCGGGCTCGATTTATCATTATTTGTTCAGCATTTTCTTCCTGGTATTTGGAAATTTTTGCTTCAATAGCAGCAACGTCTATTCCTTCAATCAAGTTGAATGCTGCAAAAGTTGAAAAAACAAATTAAAAACTAAAATAAAGCAAAACTTTATCAAGTAATGCATCCACAATGGTGATGATAGAAACTTACTCATGTCCTCTACTTCCTCCAAGTAGTCATTGTACTCTCTCAAAGATGGGAAATCATCTTCACGTTTATTAAATCTAAAAAATGTAACAGTTAAATATAAGCTTCTCTGAGTCTGCGTGCTATAAGCATGCATAAGTTGACATTGTGAAGCAAAAATGGATACCGCAGTAGAATTAATATTAATGACCCCATCTACTCAATTATGAAATAAGTGTTGATTGATGTTAAGATCCTCTACAGAAAGCCACAAGCTTCTGCAGTTATACCAGTTACCCTGGTTGTCCTTGGCCATTCATTTAACCTAACAGATTAATAGAGCATTAAAGATTTCATGAAGTCATCAGAACCTTCAGCAGAAAAATGAACCAGTCATTCGTTAATGTGTAAAGTTTACCTATATCTATCAACACCGCTTTAAGAGCTGGCCAAAAAATAAATAAATAAAGCTGCTTTGCAAGTAAACACCGTACCGAAAGCATTACATGAAATACCAACGATACCAAGGTTTTCTCTTTAGGATAAAATAAGAATTCAATGTAAGGAGAGAACATTGCATTAGTTGAGTACATAAATTCCTAGAAAATGGAAAATTAAAGACAGCCACAAAAGGATTTTCTTTGGATTAAAAAACGACTCTATTATGAAGAAAAAGATCACAAGCAGTAGTAAAAGATATTCACCTAAAAAAAAAAGAAGAAATTAATAAGTAAAGTGCAAAAGCTTTCCAATATTTATGAAGATGTGCAAGAGATACCATAAGAAGAACACAAGCTACCCTATCTCACACACGCTGACAGCAGATTCCACATGATGCCTTTCAAAATGTAAAGCATTCCTCTCCAATACCAGAAGACTTAACCCTACCACAAATTTAGCCTCTTTATTTCCAACAACGCCTCTGTACAAGGACAAGGAATATGCTCCAGGGTCAAAATGTAAATCCTGGTCGCCTATCCAAGCAACTTATTCCATGACATGAGGCAAAAATCACTGGATAATGCAGAAATGAATGTGCGACATATTCATAATTAAACCAACACATGACGTGAGTACATCTCAGATTCCTAAGAACCAAAAAACCTTCATTTCAAGGGCTATAAGTCTGCCAGCCAACAGGGTGGTTTGCTTAGCGGATCAGAGAAAATCAAGTGTAGTCATTCTTACTTTATGAGCCACCCCTGCCCGGATACAAAAAAGGTGACACTGGAAAAGATTGTATAATTAGGAGTAACATTATATTACCTAACGAAAAGGAAGACCTCTCCAACTATCCAACCAGTTAGAAACCGCCAGTGAAAAGTGTCAGCTTAATGATTCTCAGATTCTTATTCATTGAAAGCTGAATGGTTTGAGTACAAATAGGGGTTGGTGGGCTAGACTGCAATATCCAAATCTCAAGGGAATAAACAAACGTTTCCTCTTTTATAATTGTAATTTTTACAAGTCTATGACTACCCTTCTTTCTGGTTGAAAGAGAATTTGGCCCCCTTTCTTTATTACTAATACAGAATTACAGTGGTTTCCATGATTCCATCAGTGCATTCCTTCTCTCTCTCTTTATACACATGATTCAACCTGACTGACACAACCTAAGTGATAAGGGTTAAATTTATACACAACTGTCTCCAATTTGATTGGCTTGAAGTCCTTCCCCATAGTTGATCTTTCCTAGCAGTAGAATCACGACTTATGAAAGCAAATTTAGCCGCCCATTGATCTTGCTATCCCTATAATAATCTTTCATCAGCTCGAGCAAATCCTCATAAGTCCAAACAGTTTTGTAAGCAAGGAATTCACTCACCAACATCAAAAAAAGCAATAAACTAAGGGAAACAATCTGCCTTTCCTTAACCAACCAGATAAGCTAAGAATTTGCAAGGGTCTCTAATATTGCAATGCTAGAAAGACGATAGAACCTCATCACCTTTGAATCCCCCGTGCTTATTGTAACCAATCCAACCTCAAATGTTTCATTAGCAAAATCTAGTTCCAAAAACCAGTCAGTCCATCAAAAATCGTTATGACAGAAATGCCCATGTAATTATGTAAATTAAAACACTCACCACGTAATCTCACTCATGGAGGTCATAGCAAGCACTGACAAAATGCTAACTATATTACAATGTATGTCATCACCTTTGCTAACAAGTCTAACTCAAATAGTATTTACACTTTACGACCAGTATAAAAAACATTAACCAGCTAATCATGTCAATTATACTGGATTGTATTTGACTAAATTTAACTTTACACCATATTCACACAACATGCTCAATTACATGTGAAGCAAGCAATTAACGAAAAGGGCTATGAGAGATTACATGCTAGTAATCCTCCTCCTGATGGCTATCTCTTTACTGTGGGGATTGTTACTGGAGACCACCATTTTGCTGTTGTTGGCTTCCTGTACTTCCTCTTCTTTTTCTCACCTAAAATTTAATTTGCGCTTTTGAGAACAAGTGATATCCAACTAGAAACCTTCCAAATAAGAGCATAAATCATAACAAAGGGGTAAATGCCATTATCATGATCCTCAAGCATTCAAGTAAGCAAATAGGTACATATTTACATTTAAAGTGATCTTAACAAGCAGGCAAAGGCCGAGTGATATCTATCGTAGCTAGCAGCTACACAATGCTATTAAAACCAATGGAAATACACGGCCATTTCAAGTTAAGTAAAGAAACTACTAATGCGCTTAATAATTTTATTTTCCACAACAAGATGAAATCAAGCATCACTATGAACATAATTGAATTTACCACATCACATTACATGATTAATTCAAAGTGGTAGGAAAAAAAAATTGCCTGGTGCATAGTATGAAGGAACATTTATGGGACACAGAATTGTTAACTTCGACACACACGCCCGATAGTTGATGACCCAAAACTTGAAAAACTCTCAAATCAACTGAAGGAATCCGAGATATGAAATTTTGAAACCAAAGTATGAGTCACCTGAAAGACACGGTGAGATGGCCGTAGTGATAAGGAAAGCGATGAAACTGTCCACAGGAATTCGCAGTACTCCCGAAAGGTGGTCGACTGTTGTAGTTGTGTGGTCGTCACGGGCGCATTCTTTCGCAGCCTCACGGTGGTCGCTGCCAGCCTCAGATTGGACGAGGTGGTGGGGATTGACTGATGAAGGTGCGGCACGATGGGTCTTATGGCGTCGCGGGTTATGGATCGGGCTGGTATGGTTCGGGTCGGAGGAGAACATGAACGAATCGTCAAATGCTCATGTTTACGTTTTGGCAGTATGAATAAAAAAAATTGAGGATCATACTAATAACTAAATAAAAAATAATTATCTCATAAAAACTTAAGAAAACATTGGTGAAAAAGACTTAGTTAAAATAAAAATTGATCCCAAAGACCAAATGTCATTGAACGGCTAAAGTTATCATTTTATTCATTTAACTACTTCTTCATTTGACTAAAATACCCTTGTGTCCTATCCACTGCTCATTGTGTTTTACATCTTCCTCTAGTTGTGCCCCTTCATTTAGGTCATCATCGCATTTCTAATGTCACTGTTGACAACTCCTTGATCGACGGTGTTGCCCTGTCCCACAAGTTGATATGATATCAACCTCCACTGTAAAATCACTAGCTAAGCTTCGATGCCGACCAAATGTTTTTTCACTTTCTCGCTACCAAGTGGTTCCCACCATTAGAGCCAGGAATAAGGGCCGAGTTTGGAGGGCTACTCATTTAAGCTCATTTTTGTAAGAGTTCGGGCTTGAAAAATTTGCTATTTTTTAGGAAATCGGGCTTTTGAGCTCTACCCTTTTAGGCCCTAAAAAAAGGAGTTTGGGCCCAGGCGGCTCTCCAAGCCATGTTTCCTTTTTTTTTTCTTTCCCCTTCTCCCAGACCAAAATGTTGTCGTAAGCTTGAAGTTGAAGTCTAAAGACGCGAGCCAGTCAATACCAGCATAGTTCACACTCATGCCTTAGCCTTACATGAGTTAATCACAGTTCACATGACCAAAATGAGTCATGCCTCAATCCTCACACTAGCAACCCTAAGCTTCAGATTCAAGTTGCCATCTCATTGAGATCGCTCATCCTTGTCCTCGTCCTTGTCTAGTCACCGCTCCCCAATCGCCCTCTTTGTTGCTCTTAAAACTTATAAGCTTCAGATTCAGGTCGCCGAGATCGCTCATCCTCATCCTCATCTAGTCACCGCTCACCAGTCTTCCTCTTTTATGCTCTCATAGACTTCAAATTTAACTTTGGTGGCTCATCCTCTTACTCTCATAAGCTTCATATTCGGCTTCAGTGGCTCGTCTTCTTGCCCTCCTAAGCTTCAAGTCTTGACCGCCAATGTCCTCGCTCTCCTCTCTCTAAGAATCATTTCTCAATATTAGGACTCCGCCTCTCCTCCCTCTCAAAACTCAATCTTCGTGCTCACTGTTGCTCTTCTAAGCTTCGTGCTCACTCTTGCCCTCCTAAGCTTTGTGCTTACTCTCTGACTCTAGCAACTTGGGATTCAGGACTCTGCATCAACCTTCAAGTACATCTAGTTCTCTGTCTATCTCTGATTTTTCTTTACATATGAAAAGCAAGTGACTCCCCTAAGTTGCTTTGTCCTTGAATTTATATTTGAAAAGCTGTGTTGCTAAGTTATTATTCATGTGTCTACAATTTGATGTGTTGCTTTAATTTGATGTTATTATTGTTGTGGTTACTGGGTTGCTGACTTGCTGCTATGTTGTTTTATTTTTTATTTTAATTCTATTATTTATGTGTTGTCTGCAGTATGTCATCATCTAGTGCCAAGACTAATGAAACTAATAAGAAGTCAGTGGATGGGGATAGTAAAAGAGAATTAACTCCCTCCAATTTTACTACATTTAATCAAAAACCACTTAAGAAAGCTAAAAGTTGTACCTTGAATGTTTGGAAGTCTTTTTCTAAGGTGGTTAATGAAGAGGGGGCAACAAAGGCAAAGTGTAACGATTATAGCACTTTATTAGCATGTGGTGGAAATCATGGCATTTCATATCTAATTTGTCATATTAAACAATGTGTAACTCCTCTAAAGTTTCATAATATTGGCTTGATGATGTTGGATAATGAAGGCAATGTTAGATTTAAACAAATCAATAATCCACGTATATGGGAGTTGTTGGGAATGTTGATTATTGAATATGATTTGCCATATTCCTTTGTTGAATTTCCTCTTTTTGGGCAAGTTCTTAAGGAATGTAATCCCAATGTTAAGGTTATAAGTAGAGAAACTGTTGTGTCAGATATTAGGAGGTTTTATGAGCTACAAAAAGACAAGTTAAAGGTGATTTTATCAAAGAGTCCTAGTAGAATATATTTGACCTCATATTGTTGGACTATTATAACATCTGAAGGTTATATATGCTTGACAGCATATTTTGTGAATGAAAATTGAAAACTTAATAGTAAAATACTTTCTTATTATAAAATGGAGACTCCATATTCTGGACATGAATTAGCTAGCAAAGTTTTTGAGAGCTTGTGTAATTGGGGAATTGAAAAGAAGATTTTTACTGTTACTTTAGATAATGCATTTGCAAATGATTATATGGCTGAGATCTTGAAGGAGAGGTTGATTTTGCAAAATAACTTGATTTGTGATAGGGAATTCTTTTATGTGAGGTGTTGTGCACATATCTTGAACTTGATAGTTCAAGAAGATTTGAAGGTGACAAATGTTGTAATAAATAAAATTCGAGACAGCATTAAGTATGTTAAGATGTTTGAGTCTAGGATGAAGATTTTTAGGCAATGTGTTGAGCAAGTTGATGGTATTTACACCTCGATAGGATTGCGATTAGATGCATGTGCCTACTAGATGGAATTCCACCTATGATATGCTTGAAAGTATAATTAGATATAAAAGAGCCTTTGTTTGCTTGTCTTGTTGTAACGCCATTTTTAAGCATTGCTTATCAAATGAAGAGTGGAGGACAGCAGAGGAAATGTGTTCTTTCTTGCAACCATTTGCAATGATTACAATTTTGATTTCTAGCACATCTTACCTGACCTCAAACATGTATTTTGGACAAATAGAAAAAATTGAGATTTTGCTGAATGATGCCATTAGCAATTATGATCCTGTGACTTCTAATATGGCAACTAGAATGAAAGAGAAATTTGACACGTATTGGAGTGACTATAGTGTGATCTTATTAATTGGAAGTGTTTTTTATCCACAAGCAAAGTTTGAAGCAATCAAGTTTTCTTACTCACTGATTGATCCTGTGAATTACTACATGAAAGTTGATCACATCAAGCAAAAATTGTGTTATGTATTTGATCAATACAAAGATATAGGTAGATCTTCTAATAATCCTACATCAAGTTCAACTCTAACACCAAATCAACCTAGCTTAAGCACAAGTAGAAGGATGGTAGAGAAGAAGAAGGAGTCGGCCATGTCTTGGACTCACTAGTGTAAGTTCTTATTTGTTTAATACACATTATTTTATTTTTATTGGTTTGTAATTCTTTGTTTAATATGTTTTGTTTTATTTTGTAAATATAGGATTTTCTTAATTTCAAGGGTAGGGATGTTTCTTCTATTGGTACATATGAATTAGACTATTATTTGGAAGAAGCTTCCCTTGATGGCCACCAATTTTCAAAGTTAGATGTGTTGCAGTAGTGGAAGACTAATCAACAAGGATTTCCTAACATTTCAAGGATGGCGTGTGATATTTTAAGTATTCTGATTACTATAGTAGCTAGTAAATTGGCTTTTAGCATAGGCTCTTGTGTTTTGACAAAGTATTGTTCTAACCTCCTTTCAGACAATGTGCAAGCTTTGATTTGTACCAGCAATTGGTTGTATGGTTTTGTGCCACCGTTATATGATAATTGTATATTTTGTCTTTTGTGTGTGTGTATATATATATATTTGATAATGATATAGTTTGGTTAATACTTATTGTAGGTGAAGAAGAAGTGATTGAAGAGTATATTGCCATTGAACCTCCTCCACCTTCATCAAGTGGACCAACTTTCGAGGGTTCTAATATTTTGTTTATAGATGATGATGAGGATAAAGATTTAGATTTAGATTGACGGATGTTCAAATTAATTTAGTCTTTTAAATGTGTGGTGTTTAAGTTCTTGAACATTATGCATATCTTGATTTACTTTATTTTGAATTTTAAAATATTTTTAAGTCATTTATTATGTGTAAATTTATTTTAATTTATTTTAATTTTTTTGAAGTAGGGCTTATGGGCCCAGCCTTGAACCCTTTGAATAAGGGCTAGGCCTCAAGAAATGGCTCAAAAATGGGAAACTGGGCTTATGGGCTTAGGCCCTTATGGCCACCTACCTGTTTCCTGACTCTACCCACCATACTCACCGTTGATTTCACTATCCTCTTCCTCTTCTTTCAATTCTGTTGCTTCTGTTTCCTCTTCATTTGATTTTCAACCATTACCTTCCTTTTAGAAAAAGGTTCAAAACTCCTCCTATCCTGTACCTTTCCCATCTCCTAGCATTGTTTTTCAATTAAAGCCGAGTAAAACATAACAAGTGCTAGTTTTTCTAGTAAATTATCTTTTAGGAAAGCAAATTTTTAAAATTATTGGGTTTTATGTGGAATCATCTATCACAGATTATAAAGGCTAGTGTTTTTAACTTTTAGAGTTCTTGTTGCTAAACTTCCAAGCCTCTAATGCTTTTGTTATTAAATATTTTAATTGTTTTTTAAACTTTTGTATATAAAGGAAGCCCCTTGACTGTCAAGACTTTGTGAGTATCATCACTCTACTTGTGTTCTTAGTAGATCTACGACCTTAGGTGCTTAAGTTCAATGGATCTAGCACTGAACAAGCATTTGGTGCCAGAATAGTAATAACTTCTCATACGGGGGTAAAAACATCTTATCTATACAATTAGATTTTGAATGCACTAACAACCAGGTTGAATATGAAGCAATACTCACAGGACTTAAAATACATCAAGAAATGAAGGCCCATGATGTAGTCATAGAAGGGGATTCTCAGTTAGTCATCAAACAATTAACTAGTAAGTATAAATATATGAGCTTGGCTCCAGTAATGTATTACATTGAGGCTTCTTAGATCTTGGAAAAGTTCGATATTGCAACGTTAACTCGCGTTCCCTAAATTGGGAGGCTAATGAATTGGCTCAAATAGCATCAAGGCTACGGTTGTCACCCGAACTCACCAAAATGATAATTGTAGTGGAATGAAAAGAACATCCTTCAATCTCTTAG